CCATAGTCACAAACTTTCGCGTTTATATTATTAATAATATTGTATGGCTTTTAAAATCTAGCCAATTTTATTATAAAGATCATTATATATGATATAGAAATAAACTCTAAAAAACTGATATTCTTTCACTGTTTAAAAGATACTAGTTAAAGTGACATATTAATTACCCTGTTCATATATAGGCAGCTCACAAAGTTCGAGCACTCAAGCGAAATCGAGGCGGGCCACCAGCTTCATTATAAAACTTACACTACTAACTGTCTTAGAAGCACATGATGACGAATTTATCATCTACTAACTGTTACCCACAACTTTGTCTGCAAAAACTTTTAAACGAACATACTCTATTTTTTGTCAGCTACTAGAAGGGATGAAATAGGAGCCCTCTGTCATTATTTCGAAATTGTTCGTTGAGATAAAAAATAGTTTATGTTCGTCCTTGTAATCTCATATCAAATTTAATTAAGATTCGTTCAGCAAATTAGTGATGAATAGATAACAAACACAGACAGACGAACACACTTTCGTATTCATAACTAGCTGTGCTCGCGATTTCACCCACGTGAAATTTATAGCCTATGTGTTATTCTGATGATTATAAGCTATTAAAAAAGCTTATTGTAAAATTTTATTAGTTTTTGGATGAAAGAGTAAAAACATCCATCCATCCACCTACACTTAGAAACTTTAATATTATTTTATTAAGATATACTATCTTAATAAAATTATAAAGTCTCTAGGGAAGGAAGTATGGATACGTCATCTTGTGAAACACCTCTTGTTCAGTTAAAAATGCAACTGTATTTTCCGCTTATTGATATTAACATCATGTCTGGCGTGAAGTTTAACAGTTTTATAACAACTGTTGGCGTGAGGCCGCGGAATAATCGCCCATCGCCTCGTATACATATCATAAATATTGCACTGCCGCGTCTGTAGCACTCAGGCCAAACTTTCCAGGTACTGCCTGGCTGCATACTTTATGCCTACTCGGTTACCTTTTTGCGAAAAATTGTAAAGATCCATTGAGAAAGTTGCAAACTTACATTGAATTTACCACGGAATTTTAAGCTAATGTTGTATTTATGAGGTGTTCTACGTAACCGTTCGCCAAGTTTGTTGTCACACGATAACGTGATGTACTATATGAGATAATAATAATAATCTCAGAACAATTCACATAGCGTCATCTAGATCCAAGTTAAGCTAGCTAAAGCTTGTGTTATGGGTACTAGATTAATGATACAAGAACATAAATATTTGTTTTTCGTAAATATATACATATTGCACCCGATGCAAACTGTGTTTGTGCTGTGCGAGGAATCGAACCCGCGACCAACGGAAGTAAGGCGGTGTGTTAAACCGTTAGACTCTGTTCATGTTTAAACGCGACGGTCACTTACCATCAGATTGACAGTTAACTCGTTTTCCATTCCAATTACATTAGTAAAATGTGAAAGTTGTAAACTTACATTGAATTTACCACAGAATTTTAAGTTAATCTTGTATTTATAAATGCTCTACATAGTATCTTAATATTTGTAGGTACGTGTTGGGTCTTCATCTCTAAAAGGTCGTTCTGATTGATGTCGTTCAATGTCGTGAATATTTTCAATAACGCCAGGAATCCGTTAAAACTTTGATAATATAATCTACCTATGAAAAATACCCAACAATCCATATACTGCGCATGTTGCTGTAATTATTGACAATAGAGCAAAGTGATGTAGGTACTGTAGTTTTATAGAGAACATCAAATATCTACAAAAATCTGCGATAACTAACTATTACAGTTACGTCATAATAACGACTTTTTGAATATATAGTAATGCCGTTACAAACTAGGCCACATTGTTCGCACCTTTTGATTTTTTTTGTTAAATACCCATGCAAACACGAGGCGACCGCAAGTGATTAATCGAATCGTAATAAACTTATTTCAAACTATTTAGTATTTGTAAGAATTAAATCACAAATTGCATCAATGAAAGCAGTATTTATAACACTCGTAAGGATATATCTTTGCTATATTATTTCCAGACCGATTGTATTCCCATTACAGGAAATTGAATTAACCGTGCTAACCATCCATCTTGAATTCTATGACAAAAGATTAGAGTGCAATTTAGGATGAACTTGCAAATAAGTAAGTTTACTAAATTCCGACCGCAGTCTGGGGTCAGTGTATTCGACCATCAAATATGCAACTTCGTAGTCTCGTTCCTAACCACTTAAATCAATTGCAATAATGTTCATGATACTTTTATTCTTAACTAGCTACTCGTCCAGCCTTCGCACGGGCGTGCATGTATTATATGTATAAACGTCTCTTTTGAATCTGTCTGTCTATTAAACAAAACCGCTTCAAAATCCGTTGCGTAGTTTTAAAGATTTAAGCATACATAGGGACGGACAGACAGCAATAGCGACTTTATTTTAGACTATGTAATGATAGATATCTAATTCCAGGACACCGTAGTTTAATAAAAACAATTTATATTTCTTAAAAAAAAACAAAAAATATAAATAAAAATTGCCGGTACGCTTGCCCGCTATCTAACGTGGTTAGATACAGAAATACCCAGAGAATGTAGGCATGTCATATTTGACAATGCCTCTGATTACCCCATTTGAGACAATATTTGTTATTTCATAAATTCTTAGAATAATTAGAATCCTACATTATCTATATTTATTCATCATTTTAGGCCGGAAGATGTCCACTGTTGAATAAAGGCCTCCACTATTATCGCCCCCAAAGTTCTCCACGATTATCGGTCCTATTACTAGAGAAAATCCATACTAAAATTTAATATTGTAACCCATGTAATAATATTTGCCAATTTGTCCATCCGTGCGAAGCCGAGACGGCCACTAGTTATGAATATGCTTCTTAAGGCATATTCAGGCAGAATGAAGTACCACTGTCGTTAAGCTGCTCGCTGTAATTAAACTTGTACTGATCGCTCTGCAGCGTGCAGCGTGCAGTTTGCAGAATGTATTTGTCATCCCCTCTACCTCCAGACGGACATTAAACATTCACACCTCTATAAGACGTCTCAGCACTTTAGACTGAAAACGTACAATTTTACATTTCAAGGAATGGAATACGTTTTAGCCAATTTAAAAACAGAACAGGTCTGCAATTTGACTGATGTATGTTTTTTATAAATGTAACGTTATTTCTTTAATCAAAAGCAATATTTGATATTTGTCACGCAGGTTATAATAATTTTCTCTAACCAATTCAGAAACACCCTGCTTTTATAAATAGCAAAAAAACATATGCCATAAGTCATTGTAGATATTCAACAAAAATATCAACTCTTATACAGACTATACTTAGACTAAATAGTGATCATATTATATTTATAGTACCTAATACATACTATACTAACATAATAATAATAATAAAACATCCCAAATGGGGTAACCAAAGGGATTGTTAATGTTCGTGAATACAACACATATATTGCTGGTTATATTTAACTACGTACTAGAGGGCGAGACTACTGCCGTCTTTCAAATTAATTTGATTTTATGGCAGTGTTTCTATCACCGGAGAAGAAACTACTACCATCTGTCCAGTAAATTTGATTTGATCGCAGTATTTCCATTAATGTAACATTTTAATTAATAAATAAATTTCCCTGGACAATTAACACAACGCCATCTAGTCCCACGGTAAGCAGAATTTGTGTTTGGAGTACTAGCAACTGATATATATAAATACTTAAAGATATATATTTTTTGTGAATACGCACATAATATACATAGAAAACACCCAGTTATTCGATGCAAAAGACTTCCAATGCAAGCAATCGTAGTCATGAATACTAATGTTTGCACTGTGCAATCGAACCCGCGGCTATCGGAAGTAAAGCTAAACCGCTAGACCACCGAGGTCGTCAAATTAATTGACACACAAAGTTTTTTGACGACGTTCCTATTCTAATTCAGAACCTAACATCCTGTACCAAATATAGAAGATTCAAGTCTCAACGACTATCCAATGTTACATTGATTAATGAACTAATAAAGTACACGTTTACAATAAACTTAGAAACTCAAACGAACGCCGACACTAGACGGTAGGCACTAACTTGAGTGAAGTGACCTAAAAGCTCTGACGTCTAACGCCTTTAGCTTGTTTCGCTTTAGAAATAGACTCGTATCTCGTAAACAATAAACACCAATGTTCCCAAAGTAGCAGGGACCATTGAATGATTTATTTAAGCGAATGCTCCCCGCTGCATGATCCGTGTAAACTTTGGAAATATCGAGAAAGATTTTCTTGCACACATGATGAAAATAACAGTACTCAAAGTGTAACCGTTCGTAGTTTAGACTATAAAAATTAGTATTATAAAGAAATACAAACATACTTAATATAAACATTTTTGAACATTTCTTTTTATTCTACCACTCAATCAAAACCAGACTCATCACAGGAACAACGCCCAAGAAACTCGCGTTCTGCTCTTTTAATAAATGTTGTTCAGCATTACATTTTAAACATGTTGTGTGAATTCAAAATGCCAAATAGCAAGATTAACAAAAGCAATTAAATAGTTACTTAATAAATTCGCCGTAGTAAAAATAAAAACAGGGGAAAAGTTTGATATTTTATTTGTAATGGATAAACGACTCGTAAACAATAGTGATTTCTTTCACCTGTAAAAAGCTTCATTATCAGAGAGTAACATGGACAACTTCATATGATAACAGAGAATTCATGACGTCAAACTGTCAGTAAGCTGCTATATTCAATAACGGCAACTGGTGATTTATTTTAGACTATTGGAAATGCCCAACAAGTCCACCTGACAAATACAGCGGAGTTTAGTGCCTCGCACACGGGTCGTAGCATAAAGAATGCACGTAGTGCGCCATTCACTTACCGTTGTACGAAGGCACTTGCTGTAACCTGTGCTATTCGCTCTAAAGAGGTAAAATATATTCATATTTCTAATGTTTTATTAATTGTCGGCAGGCGTGTGTTTCGAGCCGCTAAGATGAAATCGTGGGGCGAAACACTAGGGCGCGGTGCGTCCGCCCACTTTTCTCGCGTGGGGCGACTGCGCCGCGCTCTCGTGCTGCTGGCGGCAGCAGCGTGTACAGCTGCCGCGTTGCTGTACTGGAGACAACAGAGTAACGAGCTCACCCATAGGCCATTACACAACGTATACACGTAAGTATTTTGTTATAGTTACTAATACAAGACGCAAAACAATTTTTAGCTTTACGAAACTTATTTGGGTGTCGCTTTTTTCATCGTAAAAAAAGGGTATCTCTTTTTCTGCCACCAATGAAATTGCCATGAAAGCTATGTTTTCATTTGAAAAACGAGATACATCAGGAAAGTGAACTGACGTACGAAAGTTTAGTCTTTTTCATGTTTATAGATAACGAATCCCGTGTATCGTAATTTAACATTTTATTTCATATATTTCAGTGGCGTAGAACCGCAATGGACTTGGATCTGCCGAAACGACAGATGTGAACGTATGCTGACGTCGGAAACCACAGTGTTGCAATCTTTACCCACGTGCAATATGTTGTGTGCCTCGACACAGCTTTGGCCGCAACCAACAGGGCCTGTCAGTCTCGCCACAGCCGCAGTGCCAATCAAATCTGAAGGAATTTCTCTACAAGTCACTGCTTCACCATCGCATGACGTCGATAGGCATTTACATGATGCATTTGCTCTTATGAAAGAAGATATGCGTAATCTGGAGAAAAGTATTAGCGGCGAAAACAGACGTAGTGATATAGGGCTTCCTCGTGATATGCTAGTACGCGTTGCAGTCAACGGCAGCGCAGATCCCCGTATGCGCCTAGACACTGATGAGAGCTACAAGTTAATATTACGGCCAGTAGCCAATACTTTGGTAGTGGATATAACAGCACATTCATTTTGCGGTGCTCGGCATGGTTTTGAGACCTTATCTCAACTAGTTTGGATAGATCCTTACGCACAAAGCCTATTAGTTCTTGAAGCAGCGACAATAGATGACGCACCACGGTTTAGGTATCGAGGATTTCTACTGGATACTGCACGAAACTATTTTCCAGTAGGTGAATTACTGAAAACGATTGATGCGATGGCGGCTTCCAAATTAAACACGTTCCACTGGCATGTCAGTGATTCACAGTCGTTTCCATTAAGGTTAAATAGTGCACCACAATTGGCACAGCACGGAGCATATGGACCAGGTGCAATTTACACAATGGATGAAGTCAGAGCAATAGTCCGTCGTGCAAAATTACGGGGTATTCGCGTGCTATTAGAAGTTGATGCACCAGCTCACGTAGGTCGCGCTTGGGATTGGGGTCCTGCGGCGGGACTCGGTCATTTAGCATATTGTATAGAAGCCGAACCGTGGAGCGCCTACTGTGGTGAACCTCCATGTGGACAATTAAATCCACGAAATCCTCATGTTTATGAACTCCTAGAACGCATTTACGCCGAAATTATTCAGGTAACTGAAGTCGATGATTTATTTCATCTAGGCGGTGATGAAGTTTCGGAACGCTGCTGGGCTCAGCATTTCAACGACACAGATCCAATGGAACTTTGGTTTGAATTTACACGTCGAGCTATGACTGCGTTAGAGAGCGCCAACGGTGGCAAAGCACCAGAATTGACACTGTTATGGTCGTCTCGATTGACACGTTCCCCGTATCTGGAAAGACTGGATCCTAAACATTTCGGAGTACAAATATGGGGCGCATCAAGATGGCCGGAATCTCGAGCCGTTCTCGACGCCGGCTTCCGCTCAGTGATCTCACACGTGGACGCGTGGTACTTAGACTGCGGATTCGGTTCATGGCGTGACAGTTCCGATGGACACTGTGGGCCGTACCGCTCGTGGCAACAGGTGTATGAGCATCGGCCGTGGATAGAGGAGGCACCGATGCCCGCCGGCGTAGGAGATGTATTGCCCTGGAAAATAGAAGGCGGTGCAGCGTGTCAATGGACTGAACAGCTTAGTTCTGGCGGTTTGGACGCACGAGTGTGGCCTCGTACAGCTGCGATGGCGGAGCGTCTGTGGTCGGACCGAGCTGAGGGCGCGGCTGCGGATGTATACCTGCGTCTAGATACGCAGCGTTCGAGGCTAGTAGCTCGCGGCGTCCATGCTGCACCACTATGGCCGCGCTGGTGTTCGCACAACCCACACGCCTGCCTATAGCCATCCACAACATCCTCAGCGCCTTTCGATTCGCGCCTCCCGAAAGCCATTGGCGCTCTCCGTGGCTAACAGTTATAGAACTGACGCAGCTCGTTCGTCGAGCCTATTATTTTATTCAACGCCATCTAGTTTTAAATGTCACAAAAGTTACTTAATGATATCTACGTTTATACAATGAGAGAATATTTTTCCTTGATTTAATGGCGTCTCAAAATTGCGACAGGTTACAATGTAAACTTAATTCGATGTTATGACTTTATTATTATAGTAGAGAGAGGCTGTCACAAAATCTAGTTAACGAATGACATTTTTAGTGTTTATACACTACGACTTTTGTTGTACATAAGAATAGATAATTATGTTAATATACTTAAGGGAGTAGATAGAAATTTGTACAGCGCTTATGATTAGGTAGAATGATCACAAACATGAAAACTTTTTAGGATTGAACAATAAGTAAACTCGGTCGACTTTGAATAGAACCTTAGATAGTTCTAGGATTTAATATAAAAATAAAACTTAAAGCGGACAACCGATTTTAATTGCCCACCGATTTGTCCGACTACTACCGACATTAGGCTGACCGCACATTAGCTCCTAACGCTTGAACAATAGCAGATTGCACGGTTGGGCCGTTGTTATTCAATATACAGGCCTGCAGACGCTAAACCGCAAAAATATTAAAAAAAAAGTGACACTGTTATAAAATAGCGTTATTGTTTCAAAATTTTATAGAGACTTATATTCTAAATCATTTAGAATAATTACAATACAGTAAAATAACGCCACGACCTCATTCTCATAAGAAAAAAAAATACTTTGGATAAGATAATTGAGATATATTTTTTCTTTTAAAAATAATAACAAAGAAAATAAATTAAAACCCGTAATTGATTTATTACATTGCTCGTGTAAACAATAATAAAAAAGTAATCAGAGATTTCGGAGCACTGTGTACACATATAGTGTAGTCATAGTTTGACAATCGGTCGACTATGAAAGGCCTAATAGATTGACACAATAATTAAAGCCTGCAAAGGACAAATCACTAATGTACGTGTATAACGTTATTATGTACTCTAATTGCAGGTAGTAGTAGGTGGCAGTGCAGACACGCAGATGTGATGGTAATCATCATAATAGGGAAAATCTTATTATAGTTAGTACACATTGTAATTAGAAATATCAGCGATGTATAAAACTAAAAAATCTTCACAAACGTATTTTAATTTTTTTATATCTTTGATCACTAATTTACAATTTAATATTATGTGAAACAAAACAACATTTTCTTTCACACAATTTTTCCCATTTTTTGCTTAATTTTCCGTGAAAATGCAGTTATACTCAAATCATAAAACAAAAACGCCTATAAAATTCTGCAGAAAGCAGAGACTAGTATGATTAAGGACTAACAATTTAACAGTAAGTCTAAAAATGTAATTTATTAATATTTGCTAATTGTTCTCATTATACTTAAATTGAGCTCTTCCATGTTTTCTTATGATTAGGGACTGTTTAAATCATAAAAAACCATAAATTATTCAAAATTAATATAAGTGATAGGAAAATTAAAAAATTAAAACTTGCTAACTAAAATCAATAACAAATTGATTTTACGTTTAATGTTAAAATATAACGGTAGGTATGTATTGACCTAAAAACTATAACTAATAACTCTAAACTTTGATGCAATTTCAGTTTCAGATATTAGGATTGTAAATAAATTCAGGCTGTCCACAAGCTGCTAACGATTTTATTCTTCAGACTAGGGCAATACAAGTATTAAGGTCAGATGTAGACTGTATGTGTTTCGGTTGTAAATTAAGCAGTGAAATTACAAAATAGACGAAAGAAGCATGAGATCGTAGTCCTCTGGAATGAAACGCATGAGTGGTATTACGGGTATCACGTGATAATGTGATAACCGTAGTGCAGTTCATGTATATAGGCGACGGTTACCGCTTAACAGAGTAGGATCGTCAGCTTGTTTGCCATTCCTATTACATAGAAAACAATTACACACGGTTTAAAAAAAAACATGCCTCGCGTGATTAATGAACGACCTCCAGTGTCCTAGATCATACAACCTACTATATTTGCCGCATATCAAATAATGTTTCACATTGTATCTCATGATTGCAGAATTTTTTTACGATCTTGATATATCTTAAAACTATTGTATATCTGATACTTTGTATAATTTTTAAACCTGGCAACTCTAATCTGTGATCACTGTTCCAATTCCAATTTGCCAAGCGTGTTAGTAGTGGTGGGTCGTCGACGATTTTACAATCGAAATAACGAGCCCGGTTAACATAGACGATGAGCTAGTTTAAAAAACAGTCGATTAGTTTACGTCGTCGTCGAAAAGACTTCTTCAGGTAAACGAACGAAATTCTCGTTTACCAATTGACGATTTTAGAGCGACTGTCTCGAGGGCTAGACGACGCTCACGACGCGCAACATACTAATCAACCTGTCGACAAATAATCTAGTTTATTCGTAAACTGTGAACTAGTAACTCGTTCACACACAAAAAACAGATTAATAAAACGGTTTGTTCATTTAATGCCCACTTCTACGTGATAGTTCCCATCGTCATTGCTTACCTCAATTTTTAACACTAAAATAAGTAGGAATAACAACTTATATATCAATATTAGGTAGATACCAAAATGAACTGAGGCACAATAATTACAAACAAATAAGAAATGAAATTGTTATACAGACTGCATTGCTGTTTTTATGCAAATAGTATTGCCGTATTATACACAGTTTCACTAGATAGAAATGTAAATGCGCACAATTGGTGATAATTTCTGAAGATAATCGAATTCATAAAAGAGAAATAACTGGCATAGCATGGTCTTTCCTCGCCAGGGGCCAGCCGAAAAGGTGCTCTCTATTAAAATTCATTTTAATTTTTAATAAATTTGTTTAGATTAATATTATTTTTATTAGTTGATAAATACAATGTAGTTTTCGTATTCATTTCCGTAGTTTAATTTTTCACATAAAAAAATCGCGGGGCTTACCGCCCACCCATCGTTTCAGGATGGCCCCTTGGCAGCCCTTGCATTACGTCAAAGAAGAAACACCTTTTTAAAGTGTTTTACCCTATGAGTTCCATAGAAATGGTTACGGTTTCAGCTGTAGAAAAATTCTAATCTTAGTCAGGGATTAGACTTGACCAGACATTTTACAAAATTATCTAAAACATCTAAACTGCTGTTTCTTACCTTTAAGACATACAGAAATATTTGATAACTGCCGTCTTATAAACTGCGAAGCGTGATTAAGAAACTGATTGACCATATATAGAGTTGTTTAGTTTTACCATAGAAAATATATGAATAATACGTTTTTTATTCTATACAAATAAATAAATAGATAAATATAGTACCCGTTACCATTCCGCCAACTTACACTTACTGCCAATTAAGTCACAAGTTAAGTTTTATTATTAATATAGTTATGGAGAGTTGCATTACTAGTTATAGATAGTTTGGTTGACTAAATTAGCAGCAGAAACTAAGAACTGTTACAAAATGTGTTTTGCCTATTAGTGTAAAATTGTTTTGTACATGAATATAAAATTTAGTCCGTATCATATAAATAATTGTCTTTTTTATCGTAACATTGACCTTAAGTTTATATGTTTTATATTATGTATAATTCATATTAATTAAAACAGAAACTGACCATGTTTACTGATAAATTACAAAGTAAGAATCAGAAACATTGTTCGTTTCGTACAGTGCTTACGTAGCTGCTTTTGTAGCTTCATTGCTAATAAAATAATACATTATGATATTACATTATGAAATATACCTATTGAATTTACAAATTTTGTAAAACAACTGATACTGAACATTTTGTATATTATTTTAAAAGATTATACTAACCTAAGAAATAATGCAGTACGCTTTATTTACGTTTCTATACTATGACCACGACATGACGATATGACCCAATATGTTTTATAATGTAATGTCCCTTTCAGAGTACATATATATAGCAATATATGCATAAAATCTAACACGTCTTTGCATATATTCTGCATATGTTCAGTCATATCTCAGTATGTTTTTAACCTGTTTGCAATGTCATTAAATAGAAAATAATTTAAAACCTCCAAAAGTAAAATGAACAACAGCTACAATTTTATTTACAACTTTGCAGCACTCGTATGCCTACATACAAAACAAACGTATAACAATGAGATTTCGTAATGAACATAACACTCAATAAGTTCAATTTGACATTAATTTTTATTAATGATTTTTATTGATACCCATTTTATTTACAAATTACTTTTATATTAATATTATTGTTGTAAATAAATTTAATTTTGTATGTTTTTATGAGATTATTTATTTTGCAATAGTTTCGAATTTTTTGTTGTTGATTGCACTTAAGATTTTTATAAAAAAAAACTCAATCAATGTAGATAGCGGATTTCGTTGTATTCTTATAATGAATGGTATCGTAAATAATTCGATGTGTGTGATCAATAAACAGGCACAATTTTGTACATTTTGTAATGTTTGGTGCTACAGTGATTTTGTGGTGTAATCTATGAAATATAAAAATAATTCTATCGAGGTCCTTGTTTGATTTTATTTCATTTCTTTATTGGTGTATTCCTGTGTACTATTTATGGCACTTGTTTGTATGCTTCTAACTACACAGGGATGCACCTAAATAGTGGCTTCCCACGCCTATAAAAAATATTTTTATAGATGAAAGGTCTGTTAGAGCATGATTCTTGGTCACTTATGCATCCTAAGCTGTACCAAACAAAAATATGGCACTGGTGGCTTATCCGTTGATTGTGTAAAATTGTCGACAAATTTAAAGCAAGATATAAATCTTCATTTGTTATGGTAATATGCAAATTTTTATTGTATTTCTTTTGGAAACGAACGAAAAAAAGAATTATACAAAACTAGCTGCGCCACCAGTTGAGCCCGCCAATTATATTTGTTAATAGCATCTTAAAACATATATTAATTACGTATTTCATCTGAATGCGCAAATTGAAAAAAAAACAAAATGTAAAAAATAAATTAAATTATTTATTATTCAGCAATTTTGTTTCCCATACAATTCCATCATAGTTACTTCTTCCTGAAAATGCTCGATCGTTTTCGTGGGGTACCCTGGAAAAAGAAATAATCTTACACTATTTAGAACATTTAGACATGTAGGTTTACTGATTTATTAACAAAATCCTTGTTTTTATTTTGATGAAAAAAGATTTTTTCCTATAAATAAAATAACAATACTGGCACTATTATGAGAAAAACAAGTTTATAAATGTTGTAAATTTCCAACATTTACAAACAAGTTTGTAATTGTAAAAGCTATTCAGAATTAGCAAAGATTAAAATATACAGTTCCATTGAGAAGTTCTTTTGGTTTCGAAGTTTTTGCAATACCAGTGTGGAATATCTGATTTATATTAATATCAAGTACACTTACGTCACTAATATCGTGTCTGGCAGATCTGAAAAACGCACGGAAACGGGAGGGAGTGCTAGTCTTGCGCGACGCCTGCGCCTGCGGGTCCATTTCCACGCGCAACGACTCACGGAGTTCCGAATCCTATGAAACAAAATTGAACGTATATCATCAATAAGTATTGGCCCAATCCTCTCTCTCTAATAATAGAAAATGCATTACCACACTTTTTGTATTACAATTTTTATTACATGATTAAAGTAGGTAGAATTTTTAAAATAGTTACTACAGTATTTTTACACAGGAATAGGCATACCCCATATTTCAAGGAATAAAATATAAACAACTGTCCTCCGTCGCGTTTTCACGCAATAACTACGGAACTGATTTAAATTAAATATATAGTCTAGACCCTGAGAAAGGACTTTTTTCAGATTAAAGAATGTAAGGAAGTATCATTATTTCTAAAGGTAGAAGTTTGAAACTCATTTCTAGGCTAGGATTAAATATAAATAAGTATGACAATCAAAGTTTGTTAACATTTTAACCGTAAGGGGGTAAAATAAATTCACGCGGATGAAGTTGAGGACAAAGCTAGTAGCTTATAAAGCAAGCAGCTTGGCGGCTGTAGATTATAATAGGTGAGGAAGAAGTACGCTCGTCTCTGGTATCAACCTTGGTAAAAGGAGAGTTCTTAAATTTTTATAATATCAAGAAACGCTGTCTTCGTAACCACAATGTATGTACAGATTACCTTATTTTCCTATTCATATATCTTGACAAGTATCAATAAGAGCATACCGTGGCAGACAGTCTCCCAGCTTGCTTGCTTGGTGTCGGCGGTCCGGGCTTCTTATAAGCGGTGATGCCAACTTCCTTGCGCTGTGGTCGACCGCCACCGTTTATCATAGTAGAACACTGTAAAGAATGTATACTTAGAAACATAATTTTACTTGCTTATAATAAGTTGATTTGTAAAATAATATTCTATGCTCAACCTCATGGTATAGTCTATTTTAATCATCATCATCATCATCTGCTTTTTCCTTATACCATTTAGTTGGAGTCGGCGTAATATGTTTTTCTCTTCCATTCATCTCTGTTCGCAGTCATCTCTTTATTTACTCCCTTTCTCACCATATCACCTTTCACACAGTCCATCCATCTCTTTTTCGGTCTTCCTCTACGCTTATAACCATCCACATTCAAATGTAATACCGTGCTTAGGATATGATCTTTATTATATAGTTTAGATATTTATTTTGAACTATATAACGATATGAAACAATAAAACATTAACAAAATTATTTTAGGAAATATACTATGTTAACTACAGGGGTTATTTTAATATTTCTTACTTTTTAGTTTACTAAATATATTGTATTCACCTTAATATCATCTTCATCAATGGCGGAGGCGAACTGCGTCTCGGCTGGGTAGGAACTCTTTAGGTGTGGTGGACACAGTGAATTCCGCCAGCGGAGCTCCGATAGTCGTAGCCCGGGCGGAGGCGACCGGCGCGGCGTCGAGGACAACTCTTTCAGACAACGGTTGTCGAATACCTCGCCTTCTTCATCTGACATGTGTAAACCACGGCCCTCTGTCATTGCCAATTGTTTTTGTTAGTTTATGTTACATACAGAAAAACATACTATACAAAAAGCCTTACTGTACTAAATGCTTGTCCTAACTCTTTGGATCTTATGCTGTTCTCTTTGGGATCAATACATTGGAAGAGGGTTGATGACGTGTGACATTGTGTGGGAGGAAGAAAGATATCTCGTAAAGTATAAAAAAAATGTACTATGTAATAATTATTTTATATAAATGTTGTTAATGTAAACATTTTTAAATGTAAAATTCCAAAATATCTGACTTCCTACCAGGTAGGACAGAGTTACAAATCTGACCAGCTGTGACAAAGATGAGGAGGCAAAACTCATGAACTTTATAGATAGTGTAGTTTTTCACAAAGCAAAGAGGATTTTAATGCTTTTGTGTTAATCCAAATTAATAAATTTTGTGAAAATTTGCGACACACTGAATGTCTTCTTATCTACCATAGATTTTAAAATGTTAGTGTCATGATAAGAAAAATTGTAAATTGTACACTTACCACGTTTACCATTGGTATTGTTATTAAATGCAGGTAAGGAGCGAAGTGAATGTGTGTCAGACGGTCGAGATGGCACCTCTTGTGTCGGCATTAAGCCTGACTGCAATCAAATAAGATATGATTATATCATTGATTTTTTCTTTATGTATATATATATAATCATGCAAACAATACTTTTTTTAAAGCAAATAAAATCTGATTAAAATCTACTCATTCATGTGAAACAAGTTACAAAATTCATTCCAATATATAGGTATTCTATGAATTTCATTTCTGATTTCGTAATTAAATCTATTCTTATAATTCTAAGGTTATAGTTTTCATAATGAACCTAAAACGACACGAAAATATCTCAGAATATAGATAATACAAATTATTATACCGAATGTACATGCTGTAGTGACATCAATGACCCGTAGCGCTGTTTCTTTCTCAACCACTCTGCTTCGTCTTGCTTCATAAGGAACTTTTCGCCAACCGTCCACAGCTCTGTCGTAAGGGACTTTATATGCTCTTCGTAAGCGCGGCTCGACTCCAACAACTTCTGTTTACTCTTCTGCAACTCATGCTCCAATGCCGCAATCTCTTCTTTCTGTCGAGATTGGAACACTGCGATCTGCTCGTGGTAAAGTTCTTTCTGTAAAATAATAAGAATAATCACATCACAATCTTATAAATTTAATATTTCAGATAGCCTCATGCATTTGTTACATGCTTAGTGAAACATGCTTAGTTATAAGTGTGTTTACCTTTTCTAATAGTTGATTCATTATAAAGCTTTGATTACAAACACACTCCATGTTTTAATGAACACTAAAAAGCCAACTACATACTGAAAAATGAAATAAAACAAAAGCATGTATAAAAATATAATTTATTAAATAAATTACTTAATTTACAAGTAAAGTTTAGTTCGAACAAGATAAAAGCCACCCCATTCAATAATCCATTTGCAGATAAAACCACCACACGACCTGATATAACAATATCAATAACAGTACAGGTAATATACTGACCATTTTTGCCTTCATTCTGTTGAGTTTGTCCTCGTATTCGGCGCGTATTTCCATCATGGTGACCGATTGCGCGTCCTTTGCACCCTCTCCTTTCTGCGCCCTCAGCACTTCTTCTAGTAACTTCTGGAATGATTTCTCCATCTCCTCTAACTGTATATCTAAGCTGTTGTTTTGGAAAGACATGGATGCTAGCGAGACACGATCGTTTTCACACGTGAAAGCTTGCTGAATTTTCTCAGGAGAAATAGTCCTGTCAATACTTCGCTCGATCCACCTTTGCATGTTCAGAGAACACTCTGACAAGTCTTGCATGACTGCCGCGTAGCCCCTCTCTAACTTACACATAGTCGCCTCTGTTATACGCCCATCAAGATTTAAGATCTCTCGGCGGACCGTCCTCTGTACAGTCACTATCCTACTCAATTTTTGCGCATACAGATCCTTAATATTACAAAATGTTTTGTAGCCAACTGCTAGCTCTGTCAAAAACTTTTTCAAGTTTATAACCTCGGATTCATTGATTCTATTCACATCGGTCAATCTGTCTCGTTCCTTTTGCAATGCGATCTGTTTTTCAGAACAGCGGCGCAAATGTTTTTCAGTTGTTTCCAAGAAATTCTCCAAGTCCTCCATAGTGATAGTGCCGGCATACAAGCTGCGTCTCACTTCGTTATCACAGTTAGCCGAGTTGCCGAAGTTTGTCAACTCCTTCAATACAGTATTATTTTTTATTTCAGCTATCCTTTTTAATATGATCGCCTGGTACTTAGATGAGACTTTTATAATTTGAGTTGCTCTATTTTCAGTCACACTCATTTTTGAAACCTGCTTTTTGAGTTCTGCTATCTCTTCATTCTTCTGGTGGACTATTCTCTTCAGCTGAGTTGAGAGTTGTTGGCAATTTTCCTTACTAACCTCGAGTTCTTTGGTCACGTCCAGGAGTTTGTTGTCGGTATCTGTGATAAAAAAATATAAAAGCTTTAAGAGTTAGCATTAGTATTTTTCTAGTTCTCAATTTACTCTATATTACATTAATCTATATTTTATTATAATATATCTCTAATTAGAAGTTTTTATTAAAATTCAGACTAAGATATACAAAATTAAATCTATTTCAAAACTAGTGGGGTTACTCATGACACAGGTATGTAGGTAAATTATAGGTAAATATGTAGGTAAATTTACAATACCAGAACCAGACTAAATAATAATAATCTCAGGACAATTCACAATCTAAAGCTTGTGTTATGGGTACTAGAGAACTGATACAGATATAGAAAACACCCAGACGGATACAAACAGACATAATCATGTATGTTTGTGCCGTGCGAGGAATCGAACCCGCGACCATCGGAAGTAAGGCGGTATGCTAAACCGCTATAAAATCTATATTTTCAATAGGTACACTATTAATGTTACTTTTATTGTTTACGTAAAAGTGTTTAAGCAAATACAATTTTATATTGATTAATCTATTACTGATATTATAAGGAGATAGTTTGTGAGATTATAAGGGGTAGGATCTTAACCTTCTGAACCAATTTTAAAAATACTTGTAGTGTTAGACAAACCATTTATATAATATATCATAATGACGTTACGACCGATAGGAGTGAAGCTACTAAGAAAAGTACTACATTTATACTACATTTCATAAAATATGCACCTAAAACTATGAAACAATAAAATATACATTTAATGAGTACTTTAAAGATCCCTGATTGGCAATTATTTCTAGGTAAAGTACTGTGTTACTTATTATTTTCATTAAAAGGAGGATACTTGAACTGCATGACATCTATAACAGAAATAAAAATAAAGCAAGTAAGACCAAAATATATAAACCTCTTAAGAAACGCCACTTACTTAATCTATTTTCTTCTAATATCTGCATCAATTTAGCATACTCTTCTTTTAATTGTAACACTTCAATACCCTTTTGACTTATATCTTTTTCAAGTGCAACTTTTTCTTTCATTACTGATATTAATTCAGCTTGAACAGCACTTTTTTCCTCCAGTACATCCAATAGTTTCTGTTGTTCAAATTCTAATAATGCATCTTTTTTGAGAATTTCATCTTCATAAGAAGTCTTTTCCTCCTTCACTACTTTCAATGCTATATCCTTAGTTGTAATGTCCTGTGATATTATCCTTACCTTTTCTTGCAATTCTTCATGATCCGTTTTCAATTTTTCATTTTTCAGTTGCTCTTCCTTTAATTGTTGTTCTTTTTCATTTATAGTCTGATAGTTATTTTCAATTTCTTTTTTTATTTTTGTATGTTCCAGATTGAGAAGATTAATATCACTAAGCAATGAACCTCTGACTTTTTGCAAATCAGTCAATTCTTTTTGTAATTGCATTTTTATGAATAATTCATTTTTCAGCTGCATCTGTAGTGCATTTATGGTTACATTATTTTCGTCTTTATCTTGTAACCACTTTGTGTTAGTGTTATCAATTTCCTTTCGATTTTTTTCTACTGCCGCGTCACGGTCCTTGACTTCTAAAAGTAATGTCAACTTATTGTCTTCTAAAATTTTACAATTCTCATTTAATTGAGAAATAGTCATTTTCAAATCTGAAACATTTTTATTTAACTCCTCACTATAGGCTACACTTTGTTGCAATTCCTTTTGAAACTGCTCACACTCAACAACTTTCTGTTCTAAAATATTATCTGTGTGCATTTTTTGCTTATTTAACTCCTTTAATTCCATGTAATATTTATCAGTAAGATCCTGATTAAGCTGTCTTTCTTTTCTTAATGCTTCGCGTACTTGTTCAAGCTCTTCACTATTCTTCGATATATTTTTCTGAAGCTCCATTACTTTATTATGAGTGTTTGATACTATCTCATTTAATTTTATTATTTGATTTTCATATTCTTCTTCCATAGATGCTTTACTATTTAATTCTCTTTTAAGTTCACCTTTCATACTTTGTATAATGCTATCACGTTTAGTTGTTTCATCAGACAATTTTTGTATTAAACACAATTTTTCTTGTTGCAGAATCTTCACCTCTTCCACTTTTGTATCAATTATTTTCAAAGACTGTTGTGTATCATCTTTAAGCTTTTGTTGCAGTTCATTTATTTCAGTGTTAAGTTTACTTATCAGGTCATTAAACTTGATTTTAACCATATTTTTCTCTTCGATCTCTTCATCAATATGATATTTCAAGTTATTTAATTGAGATTGTTTTTCTGATATAACTAATTCCATTGCTTGAGTTTCGTCTTCTCTCGTCTTACATGATTTAATTAATTCATCCTGAAAAGAAAGAAAATTCAAAAATAACTAAATTAACTAGTCCCATAAATACTTTGTCTGCAATTAGATAAAAACTAAATCCTGGATCTATACCTGTAAAGTTTGTACTTGTTGCTTAAGCAGATCAATATTAGCTCTTTCTTGTGCTAAATGCTGTTCTATTTCTTTCTTAGCACTAATTTCACTAGATACGTCTGAAACAATGATAACATAGGTATTACCAAAATCAATCAAGAAATTCATAGAAAAAGGTTTTATTACATTGTACTATAATGAACATTTGTATAATCATATTTATAGACATAAAATTTTCAGTATTAAAGGTTGTTACTAGTAAACCTTTATTACTGATAATTTTATGCATGTGTGTATATACATATACACATACATAAAATTAGTGTATACACCAAAATATACAAAGAAAATAATAAAAAGAAAACAAAAGGTAAAAAGTTATATTACTTAATACCTATTCTTGTCATTTCATGACTTCATTTAGATATACTATAATATTTCGTGAAAACTTTGTCTATATAAAATCTAGTATACTTAAAGTTAATTATTAAGGAAACAACTAAACTTATAATACATACTTGATTTATTTTCTTCTAATAACTCTTTCATTTTCTTTAATTCTTCTTTTAATTGCATTATTTCTGTACATTTATGATTTTCAGTTTTTTCAAGAGTGTTTTTGTCATTGACAACAGAAGTAAGTTCAGCTTTAATTGTATTTTTCTCTTCAAGCACTACTAACAATTGTTGATGTTCAGATTCTAACAATTTCTCTCTTTTAAGAATTTCGTTCTCAAAGTACTTCTTTTCCTCTTCTATAGTATTCTGCATTTCTGCAATTATAATATCTTTAGCATTAACTTCTTTTGTCAATATTTGAGCCTCCTCTTGCAGTCTATTATAATTTGTTTTCAATCCTTCATTTATATTTTTTTCTTTCTCTAAATTTAATTCCATTTCTACAATAGTCTGATTTTTAATTTCTACATCTTGCTTTAAGTTTGATAATTCCAAATTAAGATTTGTCATATCTTCCAGTAACGAACTGTTATTTTTTTGTGAATGATTCAATTCTTTTTGTAACTGTATTTTAAACTGTACTTCATTTTCCAACTGCATCTGTAAGTCATTTAATGTAACATTTTTTTCATCTTTATCACATAACCATTTCTCCTTCTCCTGTCTAAACACGTTATTTTCAAACTCGACTTCTTTACGAATATTCTCAATTTCCTCAATTTTACTGTCACGGTTCTTCATTTCAAAAATTAATGTTGATTTATTTTCTTCTAAATTCTTACAATTTTGTTTTAAACTAGTAATAGTAGATTTCAAATCATTATTTTGATTATTTAATTCCTCAGTATAGGTTGCATACTCTTGTAATTTCTTTTCTAACTGTTCTAGTTCTTGGACTTTCTGGTCTAAGATATTTTGCATATGTAATCTTTGTTCACATAAAGATTCTAACTCGTCATGATGCTTGTTAGAAATATCTAAGTTCCTCTGACTCTCCCTTTTGATTTCTATATGCAGCTTCTCAAGCATTTCAGTCTTTTCAAACAAATTATTCTGAAGCTCCACTAATTCATTATTCCTGTCTAATATTGTCTGATTTAATGACGTGATACGATTTTCATACTCTTCATTCATTGATATTTTTGCATTTCTTTCCACATCAAAATCAACTTTTAGAGTTTTTACAATTTCCTCAAGTTTATTATTTTCATGACTCAAATTTTTCAAAAGAGACATTTTCTCTTCTTGGACAACTTTCAACTCGTGCGTTTTTGTCTCGATTACATGTGTAAACTCTTTAATACTTTCTTTATGCTTTAGTTCCAATTCATTTAATTTGCTATTAAGTTTCGTAACTTCGTCCTTAGTAATTACTTCAATTTTACTTTTCTCCTCACTGACTTTGTTAATATGATGTTTTAAATTTAATATGTCAGTTTCTTTTTCAGATATACATAACTCCATTTCATGTCTATCATGTTTGCTTTTTTTGCTTGATTTCTCTAATTGGTCCTAAACATAAACAAAACATTATTTAATATTTTTATAATAAAAATTCAGCATTGAACAATAGTATTCAGACACTTAAAAGCATACCTGTAAAGATTTTATTTGTTGTTTGAGCATACAAATATTGTCTCTTGCTTCTTTTAACTCAGTTTCATTACATATAGCTGTAAAAATTATAAAAAAATAAATTAATTCTTAGTTCTTAAAAAACCCACTGCTCCAAAATATCTCCAAATCTTATTACAAATCAGGTGTGCTGTATCATTTACGAATAAATATAGTAACAGCATAACAATAGCTGTTTATAAATAGTTATTAAATTGCCTACATAATATAATTTCTATAATGAAAATAAACAACAAAATCTTTTTGTAAGTGTGGTGAAGACACTACAATAAAATAAAATTCTAAAACTAATTGGTTTCATATTATTAGAAAACAATTAAGCTGAGTGTTCAGAAAAATAAACAATAGTATTATTAATTGTAGTAACTGAATAGACATTTCACTAACAAATAAAATTAGGTTTACTGTCATAACAATATTAGAAAAACTTACCACTGGTTTCCATGGCTTTTAGACTAATTGCATGTTGTTCTGATTTAGTAGTTAAAGCTCCAATTGCTGAAATGAAAGAAAGAAATGTTACGGTGATTTTTAACTATATGATAAATTATACAAAATTAAATTAACAATAAAAATATAATATTAAACAAAAAATATAATTACTTGAATTCTTTTCTTCTACTATCTGTATCATTTTCGTATATTCCGCCTTAAACTGTAGCACTTCCGTATATTTTTCATTTAGTTCTTTTTCAAGTTTCTGCTTTTCATTGGTGATTGATATGAGCTCAGATTGAACTGTATTCTTCTCTTCAAGCGCATCAACTAATTTATGATGTTCACATTCTATTAAGGCATCTTTATTACGAATTTCGTCTTCATAAAACCTCTTCTTTTCTAGTAGAATATTCTCAATATCTTTAGTTATAATTTCTTTAACTGCAATATCATCAGACATTACTTTTACTTTTTCCTGTAATTCGTCATTTTCTTTCGTCATTTTGACATTCTTTTGTTTTTCTTCATGGAGATATATGTCCATTCCAACAATAGTTTGTTCCTTTATTTCCAATTCTTTTTTCGAGTCTTCAAGTTCCAAATTAAGTCTGTTAACATTATCTAACAAAGAAATTCTATTATTTTGCAACTGTGTCAATTCATTCTGTAATTGCATTTTAAAATCTATTTCATTTTGAAGTTGCATTTGTAATGCATTGATTGTAACACTTTTTTCATCTTTTTCAAATAACCATTTCTCTTGCTCCTCTTTAAATATATTATCAACATTTTCTACTTCCTTTTGAATTTCTTCAATCTTAGCATCACGATTCCTAATTTCTTGAAGCAATGCCAGTTTATTGTCTTCTAAACTTCTACAGTTATCTCCTAAATCCGAGATTTTCAATTCTAAATTACTAATATCATTATGTAATTTTTCTGTACAAGTTAGATTAAGTTCAAGTTTCTTCTGTAGCTGCTCTATTTCATTGGTTTTTTGTTTTAGTATGTTGTCTGTTAGGTTTTGTTTTTCATTGAACTGTTGTAATTCCATGCAATGTTTATTAATTAGGTCTTGTTTAATTTGCCTCTCCTTCCTGACTTCTGCATGTAGATATTCAAGCTGTTCACTATTTTGTAGCAAATTATTCTGCAGTTCCACCAATTCATTATTCCTATTTAGAACCTTCTCATTTAATTTCATTATATGATTTTCATACTCCTCTTTCATAGATATTTTTGTATTTTTTTCTGTATCTAAATCTGTCCTTAGACTTTTAATAATATTATCAAGTTTAGTTGTTTCATCAGACAAACTATGCAACAAAGATATTTTCTCTTCTTGCAAAATTCTAATTTCATCCATTTTTTTCTCAAGGACTCGTCTAGATTGTTCTGTGTTATATTTAAGCTGTTGTTCCATTTCATTTATTTCATTATTGAGTTTGCTAATTTCATCATTAAAATGGGATTTCAAATTATTCTGTTCCTCCAACTCTTCATTGACACGATGTTTAAGGTTGACTATTTCCGACTCCTTTTCACATATGATTAACTCCATTGCTTGTTTGTCCTGTTCGCTTTTCTGATTTAGTTCATTTAATTGATCCTAAACATAAAAATATACATTGAAAAAGTTCAAATCTATTTTCATTTTTAATAAACCACACATTAAAATGAAGATCAACACACACCTGTAAAGTTTGTAATTGTTGCTTAAGAGCAACAATCTTTGCACGTTCTTCTCCTAGCTGTACTTCTACTACATTAGCGCAAACTTCACTACATATAGCTGAAAAGAATCATATAAATTGCAATAAACATTTTGTTTTCATGAAACCCTAATAAAAAAAACTGTGTATAAAATTTTATTCAGTTAACAAAAGAAGAGTCATAAATTTCAGTTATTGCAGCATTTTTAGAATCTTACATGAATTATGTTGTATGGAACGGATACTAGTGTCAGGGTCATCACATTCCAGTTGGCTTGAGTCAAATCTATTTAGCTGATTGTGTTGACGAAGCTCAGTCACTAAGTCTTGCAGAGATTGTACCTGCTGACGTTCTACTTCTAATTCTTCACTTAATTTAATGACCTGTGATGTCTCCTGCTGGCTGACAGCCAGCCATTTGTCACGCTCCTGTTTTAAGGTGTCAACCTAAGAGAGAAAATAGCCAATTGAGAAGAAAAAGATACAGTATAATTTGCAAGTGCTAAAAGACAGAAATTTAGAAGGAACACAAGAAAAAGTGAAAGAAAAATGGAAAGGATAATTCCTTGTTACATAAACAAACTTACCTATTGGACCAACAATGGAAGTAAAAAGTAATATTAAAGTACGTATATGCATTATAAAATAGTAATTTCTGCTACACAGTTACTATTCAATAATAAATAATAATTTAAATTAAACAGTAATATAACTGCATGTCATCAAAACAGTCTTAAAAATAATATTTTAATTATTGACAATGAATGAAGATGTTAACAAGTGTCATTTTAACATAGTAGTCTATTAAAAGAATAAACTTCTTGACATATCATCATTTTAGCCATCAATAGGCTAAAATGATGATATGTCAAGAATAAAAGGTAGTTGTAGTAAGAAGTTTATTCTTTTAATAGAAGCATCTGCCTACTCCAGTATGCTAAACCAGTACGCTAATAGCTTGAAGTAGATATTTTTTTTATCTTTCCAGATATTTATATGTAATACACATAGTATTGCATATCAATATTTTATTGAATAATCATAGCAATTATTTTAATTTGGAACTAGACTATCTAGGTGCTGTGTAACATCTAGTAATATTTTTACTTAGTGTTCAATTATCTCAAGTTACCTTGGTTTTATATGTATCTCTTTCATAGAATGCATCATCAAGCTGGCCCTGTGTTTCTACAAGTCTCTCTTCCAATTGCTGTAGTTGCCTCGTCAATTTGAGGGAGCCCTCTGTAACAGCATTGACCCCTGGTTGTTCTGTCTCTTGTCCACAGCACATTGAAATCTTAGCTTTAAGATTTACTATATCCAGTTTATATTTTTCTTTGTCCTTCACTGAAAATACATTTTTACAACATTATAGAAAAAGTATGTCAAATATTATACTAAAATTATAAATGCCACACTGAATATATGTGTCGATTATATTCATAACAGAGCCAACAAACACAATAGAAATAGTGAAGTAACACAAATAAATCGGGTTAACTGACCCGACCTCATACTCATCTTATCATCCTCCACTGGTGTCCTGCCAGTGTAAACCAGCGCAGGTGGGTGTACCATTCCATTATCATCCACAAAAAAATCCTTTAATTTTACATAATCTGCAGAATTTTATTTGTGTTACTTCACTATTTCCATTGTGTTACCCATCATGCCAGATTCACTCACACATGAATTTATCACTATGGTTTCCAGGGTAGAACCGTGTGGAGGTCAACCTGACATGGTACATTGCTAGCAATAGGATTATCAGTCCACATTACTAACAATCCCCTTTCTGCCCAAATGAAAGGACTGTATGATTTATTATAAGGTTGCATTTATTTCTTTTACCTAATTATTACATCATATAAAATATTATTGCATAGCTCACTATGTCTATACCTTACAAATTTAGAGCAAGATTGATTGTGAAGTGAGCAAGATAATTAGTCAATTAAAAAATGGTAAATAAATAAAATGGAAGATTACTATTATTAATAGTATACATATATAACAAGACTGATAAAAAAAAATAAGAATAAACATTTTTTTAGTCTTAATATTATTTGAATCACCTTTTTGTGGATATTATGCTACATTTTGTCAGCCAAGCCAAGCTTCAAGTAAAGTAGATCCATCATATAATTTAGTTAATTATGATAAACTCACATAGTTTTTCTAGTTTCATATTCATCCTGGCCAGTTCTTCTTGCAGATAATTCCTGTCAAAACGTTCAGCATCAAGAGCGGCTTGTAATCGCCTTACTTCACTATGCAGAGATCGTAACGCTGGTGGAGTTGCCGAGATTATAGAGTGAGAGCTGTGTGCAGATGCTACTTCCTGACCACAGGCTTCTGGAAATTAATTACTCATTTTTAATTTATATAAATATAAAGTACACCTTGACTTAAAGGCAGTTATACTACTAATACTTAGATATATATTGGCTATATAGAAAAGCATTGGATAAAAAAAGTTATAAAGTTTACTGGTTTACTACTTATTAAATGTTCACATACAGTTAAAAAAAATACTACCATTAAAATAATATAATGAGTTTTTATAAACAAATAGTTATTTTTTCTTACCTGTAATAGCAGTTTGCACATCCCTATAAGATATAAGGTGACACTCCATAAGGGACTTACTAAATTTTAATATAACCTCCTGGTCGTCTGCACTCAGTTTACTGCACATTGCATTTTTTATATCCACATCCTTAGAAATAACACACACAAAGAAAAGTAATAGAGATGCAACCACATAAATTTCCTCCTGAGTAGTGGGTTCAATTGTTCCATTTTTAAATTTAAATTCTGGATACTTCTCCAAAATGAATTCCTCTATTGTATGTGCTTCTAGTACTGATGATTTAGAATCGTCTAAATTGAGATTTTCACGTAAATGTGAAATTATATTGAGCAGCGACTGCACATTAATATCTTGCTGTTTATTATTGCTCGTATTAAAATAACAATTCACCTGAAAACCGATTTAAATAACTACTTAATACCTTAGGAAATAATATAGCAAATGTTATAACGTATTATTTTTTATGCAATAGTAAAGTAATAACTAACATAACATAAATAAAGTCAAGAGAATATTCTTTATATTTTGGACAATGTTCCGTTAATAACCGTTAACGGTTTCCTATCAAATTAAAAAATTGTGATTTTTAGATATGTTTAATATTAATTCAGTTCAAATTTGCTATTCGTTATGTATAAGTTATTGAATAAATATTAAACAAAGACTAAGATAAATAATTAAGGAAGGACAATACTTACCCAATTTATAAGAATATTCTTCCATTTTTGTAACATGTTTGAATACTTGAAAGTCCACGCAGAAAAATTAAACGCTGGTAAATATAACAATAAAAATAATTAAGAAAAGCCGGCTAAGTCAATAAAATTACATTATTAGTCTAATAAAACATTTTAATAACAAAATTCATAATTTCAATGGTAAAGTGTACGATCGCCGTTGCAATTTGAATTTTGTTTTTTGTTTTTAAACAATGCGATTACCACAGAGTACATTATGAATATTGACAAATTCTCAAACTTGATATTGACGTTGGAGTGTTTGCGTACACAGGTTAGTTTTGTATATAAGATGTTCTAGGTGTTTGACATAAAGTGACATTATTTAACTCAAAATAAAATATTTTGACATTTGCTGATGCCTAATAAACATATATAAATATTATTTTAACTTACTTTTTTTAATTAAAAATATTCGTAATTTTCTATAATACGGTGTTTTATGCAGTGGTATTAAATTAAAATTCTTTATTTTGTATATATACTTAAAGAGATGTCTGCAAAAAGAGCAGCTGGACTAGTCATTTTCAGGAATGTAAACCAGGCTGTACAGTTTCTTTTATTACAAACATCCTACGGCGAGCATCACTGGACACCGCCAAAAGGTTAATTAATTAATATATTTACATTAATTCTATGTTATATTTTTATAAAGTTTTTAATATAATTACAAATTGCGTTTGTAATTAGATTAAAAACATGTAACTCTTTAATTATATTAATTATTATCATTGGTTATCTCCACACAATCTATAAAGATTCAATACGAGAAAGATTGATATGTGAAATTATTTTCTACCCAATTTTAATGCAAATCAGTGATAACATTTTCTTATTACTTTTGATCTATACAGGAGGATCTATCAAAGAGGTGACATAGGTACACTGTATTTTAATGGATAAGCTTACTGATAATTTTTCAGGTCATGTTGACCCAGGAGAATCTGATTGGACAACAGCATTGAGAGAAACTAATGAAGAAGCCGGCTTAACTGAAAATGATTTAGAAGTAATATAATTTATTAATTTAATCATAGTATATTTTTAATGTAATGTTCACAAAATGTTATTTGATATACTTTACTTATATTTTAACTATTTTAATCCAGTATAAGGCCCATCTGATGGTAAATGGTTACCATAGGCTACTATGAATATATGAAACGTCAGGAGTCACATCAAATGTACTTGTATTTTTTGCTAAGTATACATTTTAAGTAAATATTTTTATGTAGGTATATTAAAAATATTAGAATAGAATAGAATAGAAAATCATTTATTCAAATAAACTTAATCTAAGCACTTTTGAATAGTCATAACAATTTGTTTTTTATCTACCATATATTTTAGGTATTCAAGGATGTAACAAAGACGTTACATTATAAAGTTAATGGAAAACCAAAAGTGGTTGTATATTGGTTGGCAAAATTAAAGAACCCACAAAAAGAAGTGACACTGTCTGATGAACATCAGGATTTGAAATGGTTGCCAGTGCAACAAGCACAAGATATATCTGGCTATGACGATATGAAGAAACTTTTAGCAGAATTTAATGAGAAAGCACAGATTTTGTAAGCATTCATATCAAATTGTAAAGTTCAAGTAAGATACAGTTTCCAATTTTTTTTATAAATTTCAAACAATACTGCATCTCTATTTTATGTAATAGATAAAAAAATATTTTCTAACAGTAGAATATAATTTTTATTAAAATATTGTTGTTCATGTTTTGTTTTTTTCCTTTTATCTACCATGTTAACCTGTGTTTTTTAATCAATGATATTGCTGGAGGATCACCAGTGATGGATTTAAAAATTGTGGTCACATCAATGAACCTATAAATAAACCATGTTGAAGATTTCCAAGGTGAACAACTTGACAGGGTTCTTTAAAGTAGTCATCTTCCAATTAATTATCTTCGAAAGGATGTACTCCTTTCGAAGATAATTAATTCCTGTTAGTAACAGCCCAACTTTGTATGTTAGCCTCTATAAAAAAAATATGAATGATTTATTAGAATCACTATGTTAATCATATCTCGAATATGCATTCTCTAAATTGTATCGTAGCTTATACTATACTTATTCCCTTTGGGTTCACGAAATAAAATGGTTAAATATATATATTATAAAGTTTCAAGAAAATATTTAAAGTTACAAAATTATCCCACTAAGTACAAATGGGAATAATGTACTTATTTAACTAACGACCCATTGTGGCTTAGTTCAAATGGATTATATTTTTTTTATTTCTTGGCTTATACTATAATACGCATGAATTACATAAGGTATATAAATAATATACCGTCCTCTAGAATCTGTTGCATAATTTAAAAATCATTGCGAACAAACAGAGTCAGCGACTTTGTTTTATACTATGTAAAGATTTAAATCAACTTTTATGTTGTCGATTAACACAAAATTATTTCCAAACACAAACATGGAAAAATGCAAAGTACTGATAAGCACGGAATGGGTTGTTTGCTGTAGTGGATTTCGGGGAGTTTTCCGCATGGGAACTCATTGTGTGGTACTTGGGGAATGTGTGTTCCAATGTATTGAGGTTTTTCTATACGAGTTCTTCTGTACGGGAGACTGCTTGGGGAAGAGCGTGTCCCGCGCTATTTTCAGGAACTATTCTACTCAAGAACATTTTTTGCACTGAACTATTAAGAAACTCAAGAATATTTATTGCACTGTATCAATAAAAAAAAATTACTTAGAATATTAAGAACATCAAAATCAATCCAACATGGCTGTACGGGCGCAGTTCCCTTTGCCTTTCTGTGAAAGGATACACAGAACAAAAAAATGGATAGTACTCTGTGCAGTCAGTCAGTCTTATCTGTGCTACAGTCAGATAGACTGTTAAGTTTACAAATTCTCAATACGTATATTGGTGGACGACAGTCAAAATTTAAAAATGATAATATAAATATTCAAAATATATTACCAATAACAATAAAAAAGGTAATATTACATTTAGTGTATTTATTACAATAAGCACAGTTTTATGAATAAAAAATGGACAATAAAGGAACAATTGAAATTACTACGGACGAAACAAATAATGAAATAGCGAATAATAAACCAAAAATTAAACCCAAAAACCGTGGAAAAAAACGAAAAAGGTTTGTATTAACAAGTTGAGAAAATTAGTTAATTCGTTTTTTTATATATTTGAATAATATAACTATGTTATTTTACGTAGATGTAGAATATAATATGAAGTCAATTTATTGTTAAAGAATTTATAAGAATTTGAATGCTGAAGCTTGTCTGTCATATTAAGATTGTGAGACTTTTCATATACAGCAGTCCGCGTCTAACAGACCGTCACCCATTACTTCAACTTAACAATATAAATCAAAGGAGGGGAGAGGAATGTTATCCTCCCAATCACCAATGTATTAGATTTGTCATAATGGCCTTAATGACCCAACTTCATCCTGATTCAATCATCATACACTGGTGCCCTGCCAACATGTACGGTTAGTGCAATTGGGTGTATCATTCTATAGAAATATAACTCATTTCTATATATACATTGTTTTAGGATATACAGCCATAGTAGTTCAGATATTGAAGATGTCCTACCTGAGAACACACTGGAGGTGGAGAAGAATCTACATGCTTCGGCAATTAAGAATAATCTAGATGATGCTAGTGTTAAGAAGATTTTAAAAGTAAATCATTATAATTACTGAAGTAAATAATTATGTACTATTAAGTTATGGGTACTTGGCTAGTAAATACTCACCACTACTACTATAAATAAAAAATACTAAACTTAAGTACTACTCACACAAATCGATTACTTGAAAGATAAAGTTGCTAAATATCAGAGTCAAAGAGTAGTTATTTAAATAGCTACCAGATGATAGTATAACATTAGTTTATCTTGTAGTACTTATAATTTAGAAATAATAAATAAATAAAAATTTATGTTAACAGAAAGTAGTAACAAATGACCATGTATTGGCACTTGTGAAGTTAAGGGAAGAGGAAGAGGACTCAAGTAATGAGGAGAGTGGTCATGCACCAAAACTCACCAGATCCAAAGTTAAGTAAGTATTGAAATTCAAGTTTTGGAAAGATAGTGTTCATAAATTAATTTTCTTTTTATACAAAAGCAATATATTTAAATTGGTCATTAAAACAGCTATAAGTAGGTACTATGAGGGATCAAAGGCCTTACTACCTAAATAAAGATCTACATTATTTTAATATATATTTTTTTTATTAATTTAAATATAAGGCATAAAATTTCTTTATGACCTTAATAATATATATATATATCTAACAATATGAAATATCGGTTTTAATGAAGAATAAATGTTCCTTTCAGATTATTCTACTGATATGATTTTGTGTTTGCTAGACAATATAGTTGTTAAAGAAAAGCTTGAGAGAAATAAAATACTATGAATTTATTATTTTTTTAATTCAACAGAGAACTGATGAAAGTGTCTCGAAAATCCACATGGAATTTGGAGAACTTAGAGCTCACTCCCATCAAGCATATTCCAGTGAAGACCAGGCCTGAAGTGAAGGCACTTATTACTCAAGAGCTTCCTGAAGATGAAGATGATGATGAATATGAACCCACACATGATGATGTCGCTGTTAGTATAATGATATATAAACTAACAGACTCATGGAACTTTATCTGTATTACATTTCCTCCATTTCTACACCATTTGTTACACTCCTATAGGTCATACTATGATGTTATATAACTTATAACCTTCCTCGATAAATGGACTATCCAGGTTTACAATAATTTAAAAAATGTATATTGGTATCATCATAATCAATGAAAAAGAAAACATTGCAACCATGCCAAATAATAACAATTCAAAGCCCATCCTATGTATTTTAATATTGAATTTCATTTCTAATAGTGGAAGGAAAAAGGAGTATGTGTATGTTTGATTTTTATTGTATTTTATTCTATTGTATATATTTTTTTAGTTATAGTTTTGTTTACAATTTTATAAAGGAAAAAGAATTACCATGTAACTTGTACCAAGTACTTCATTGTTTCATCTTACGGATCCGTTTACAATCATGTAACGAAAAAGAGGGTTGTCCATCCTCTAATAGACAGTGTCTTAAAAGGAAATAATTAAGACCTAAGATAAGCCTGGATATTCTATACCACAGAATTAATCATTACTGTTCTTTTAGAGTGACGACGATCAAACATTGGAGTCATGTAGCGATCTAGAATCTCAGCCTCGTACACCAGCGACACCTAAAAGCCAGTATACTCCCAGTCCAAAAGTTGTTAAAGATGGCCCGTTTAAAGTACCTCAGGTGGGTATATATTTTATAGCATAAGGGGCAAACTAGGTTGCGGCTAAGCTGATGGTAACCATAAGTGATTATCGCCGCCCAATTGCACCCGCAATACCAGGGAAATTGCAAATGCGTTCAATATTTTATAATACAATTTTCAGATAAATGTATCAATACCCGCTAAAAGAAAATTGGACATGGAAGAAGAAGCGACAATAGCGCTCCGAACTCGCTCAAAGCTGAGTCTGTCGGAGACACCAATAGAACATATAGAAAGTTCATTTGTGCCACCTGATGACTTACCCATGCCAGCAGTCGATGTCCTTTGGAACACGTTCTTAGAAGAGTGCCTGAACCCCGCACCCAGCAATAAACATGAGGACGACGACGAAGCTGATCCGGAGTACAATGTCGCAGCGGATCCCGATGCACGTATGATTTGGCTTTTTTAAAAGTCAGTGCCTAATAATCTGTTTTCATTTCCTAACAACTCATTAATGTAAGGGGCCGTCCATTAATCACGTGATATCTTTTAGCATTTACAAACGGCGTAGATAACCAATGTGTCGTGTCGACGAAATGGGTCATCGGGGACCCGATAATGTAAATTTAATTAATATATTCAGTAATTACAAATCTACAACTTGTTGTAGTAATTACAAAACAACAACAACTAATAGTAACAGTGTTATGTATACTATTAGTTGTTGTTTAACAGTAGGGAATTTATATGTGCTAGATATTTTTTTCTTTTATGTACCTGAAAGAAACTGCATGCTGTCATCTGCAAATGTCTACATCATTCATATTTCCACCACCAAATAACTATAATAATTTTCTATCACGTGTATTGTCAGTTTTTTGCGACTGAAGTTATATAAATTGAACTCTAGCTTACCAATAGACCATGTTTTCGACAATTGACTTCTAATAATTTTCCACCCATACATTTTATTTATTTATGTCCTACTCTATATCATGTTTTAAAGCATGATATATCATACTCTAAACCAATTGGCCCGGCACATCTTTTATGTGCCAAAAAGTATTATAGTTTCAAAATCTGTAACCAAAGTGGTAGTAAACATGTAATTTTATAAATTATTGCAGCTGATGAAGATGAAGAAGCTTTGGAGAGTAGTATTATAAAGATATCCAAGAAAGAGTTGAACGATCTTGTCACTGAGTTGTTTAATATCATGCCAGAAGCGACTACAGATGACGAGTTGGCTGTGAACATGGCCAGTAGTGTGCTCAACCCAACTAACCAGTCAGAAGTAGGTATTTAAAATATTTTTTTATATAAGCTGGCTGCCCACAAAGTAGCTCCACAAGGTAGCCCCCCAAGTAGGTGACAATCACCATCTATATCATCGTAAATTGGCAAACGTAGCGTATGTCGCCTCGCAGCTAGCTGGAGTGACGATATACATAGGGTTGCCGATAATAACTCGCAGAAAAATTAAGATTGTGCCCAGCGGGGTGCCTTGGCAGAAGTCTATGTGCGGCAGTGGGCTGTAGTGGGCTGATAATAATCATATCACCCCTTTTATGGAGGATTATCATCTCCTGTCTCCTTACCTTTTTAATTTTATCTGTATAATACTTGATACTTTTAAGACATTTTTCTCATTATTAGAAAACATAATGACAGAAGACTTTTACTTTTAGTCATTTTGATGGAACAAAAATATGTATTCAAATACTTATATCAGTAGTCTAGTAAAACGAGCTCTGCTTAGCTTGGGACTGTGATGGAGCTGTATGAATTTTCCACAGTTATTGTTGTTATTGAAGTTTTCATGAATAAGTGTTTCTTTTAGTTATCTCTTGGTACTATACTTTTATTGTAGAATGAAAATCTTTAAAATTTTATTAACTGTGCAATACATTTTTCTGTTTAGGTACCTCCTACTTGGGAAGGTAAACAGGAACCGCTATCAGATGATGAGAACAATGCCCAAAGAATACACACTAGAAAGATGTCAGATAGGATCACTTTCGAAAAGGGGAATCATACAAAATTTTCTATTGGCAAGAGTGAACCAGTAGATGTACCAGAGTACGAGGAAAACAGAGAAGCAGATACAAGTACAACATGCCCAAATAAAGAAATAAAACAAGATAGTATACATCAACCAAAGATTCAGTTAGTATTATTTTATTTAACCTTATCATTACTATATTTCTAATTCAACCTTTCCTCGCCTACCCTTTATCATCAATCCAGGTAGATTTCTACAAAGCAGACTGTGTGTTTTACCTGTCTGAACTATTTCAGCTACAAAGCTTGTTGCTTTGTAAGATAGGTTTCAGTTTGAAGGTGGGATATGGCAGGAAAATTACAGGGTACGAATACACGAGAGCTCAGTCCTCTAGGATGGTTTGAAGTCTATCGCAAAAGTGATACATGTTGTCGTGTGTCTCTGCCGTCTCCATTCATTTTCATACGCGACATTTGCCACTTATCGGGTAGGCTATCAGCCTATTAGCTACTGCACTTGAATACAATATATAAAATTAGTTATGCCCGCGACTTGGTGTGGTATAGAGACCTTGGACAGCATTCGTAATTATTCGTAAAATAATTAGCATATAAGTTATGCAGGATACCGTGTCCGTACAAACTTTCATCCCTTATTTTATTTTACCCCCTATTTATATTTAATAAACAGGAATGGTATTTGTATTTGGACATATTCGAATTCCAATGCCAGTTTAACAGTGCAATGATTATACACAATTTTCTAAACATAAACTGTTTGTTTTATTTCTTTTAAACACTTTAAATTATTTTTTTAAAGGGTGACAATGAAATGTACACCATTTCATTGTAACCTACACTGTCCGCCTACACTAACGGTATACGCGGGGCATCAGTGAAGGATGACAAGATGAGCAAGAAGTCAGATCAGTTAGTCCATCGTGACAAATTGACAAATTAATCACGATGGTTTCGAGTTGGAACCGCGGGGAAGTTGACCTGACATGGTACATTGCTAGCAAAGGGATAACTAGTCTCCATTATTAACTATCCCCTGTCACCCCCATCACTTTAAGTGATTGTATTGTATATTGATTTACAGTAAACCAGTGGTGGAGATATCGGTGGTAGAGCGAACGTTGTCAGTGGTACCGCCGCCGGCGATCCCCAACCCGCCTCCAGCCGTAAAAGCCGCCTGCAGTCCACCACGCCGGGTGCATGTGGACCCTGCAGACTGCCGCGTCGTAAGTACACACAACGGTCACCTTTTACCATTGCACCACTCGCCATCGACAGAGAACTCATCCTTACATGCTAGAACCTAAGAGGTCTTAGATAGTGCGATTTCAGAGGAGATTCCTGTGGAATTAACTACCTGCTGAAGTTTTCACAAGAAACTACAGCATTGGGTTTTTCAACAAGGATATTTTAAGGTTTCTTAAAGATCGGCAACGCGCACATGACACACCCCTAGTGTTTCAGGCGTCTATAGGTTGCAGTAACTGTTTACAATCAGATGGGCCATATGCTTGTTTGACACCATCGTAGTATAAAAACGTAAAAAAACGTCTACCCACGCTAATTGAACAGTTTGTACTGGCTCGTTAAACAACGATTTTAAGTATTTGTGGATTCTTTATTTGGAAGAATTTACAAGTTATGTGCCTAAAATTATAAGGTTCTTGTGTTATCAAATAAGCATGTCCCATACAGTGATTGAAACAGCAATGATTACACGCTCATGCTCACACCGAGATTATAGATATAACGAGGCGCTCGCGTTACGACAGCAGTTATCGTGCAGCTGTATTGTGCAAATAGTGTATCATGCTCCAAGTTTATTAATGACTAGCTGATACGCGCAACTTTGGCTGTATTACTTGACGCAATATAATGATAAATTATTTCGTCAAATTTATATATACATTTTTTTATTTGTAGCCTGTCTTATTCTGATGTATAAGCCATTTTATTTCTATCTGTTTGTATTATCTTTTCATGTCTAAAAGATAGAAAAGACAATAATAATGAAATTTGATACAAAAATATACAGTAGTATCACGGATATAGTTAATATATTTTTTAATTTTTATTTATCAGATATTACCAGAACAAATCCTGATATTGCAACAGCAGCTCCGAATACACGTTCAGCTGTCTACATCAAATTTCCTGCAACTGTTCATACATCCAGCACATTGGACTATGGGACCTACATACAAAGAATTTCTGGTAAGTAAATATTGTTCTTATCTATTTTTAATCCCAATGCAAAAAGATGAGGTATGCTTTTTTTAATAATAATAATAACCCTAGACAATCTATACGGCACCATCTAGTCCTGAACTAAGTAGAGCTTGTGACTACACACATGACAAACAATCCTACTCATGAATATAAATGTTTGTGCCATGTGAGGAATCGAACCCGCGAACATTGGAAATAAGTCCGTCGTGTTAAACCTATAGACCACCGGACTGTACTCTAGTTTACTTCCTATTGAAATAGATTCTTAAATGTTTAATATTTTAATTATTATTATGTAATGCGATGTCTTTATACTAAAGGAGAGCTTGAACAAGATAGCAGAATCGAACCCCAAGTCAGTAGTGAATGTGTGCAATTTGAAACCAGCTGTGGAACTCATTCGAAGCTGGGAAGAATCTGTCTCCAACAATACACCAGCAAACGCTGCTATTGTCAAGTATGTATAAAAAAGGTTTTTCTGTTTTAGGAAAATACCAAATACATTTGGGTTTAAAATTGTTTTATTATATTCCCAAATAAAAAAAATAGATTGAAGTATAAGGATTACTCAGTTTAGTAGTTAAAATATATTTGTGTTTATGAAGAAGCGGAATGTATATCAAAATTTCTATTTGTTGAAATGTATGTATGAATATAATTACTTTGTACATAATCTGCCATAAGCATTATGTATATATAAATGCATTATAAGCAGATAAAGTTTGTTAGGTTGTCCCTACAACAACCAATCACAATACACAACAATCAACCAAATACGTCACGGAACGACCAATGGTAGCGAGCACAATGAAAAATATTGCAATAACGGTGTTAGTAATTAATAATAATATATGATTTAAATTATTGTTTACAATTTTTCAGATTTATACAAGAAGAAGGTGAGAGAAGGTATGTTATTTTAGTTAAAACCTTTTTTAATACTTATTTTTGTATTTTATATCATCTCATAGATTACTACTAATAAAAGCGTGCCAAGCAGTTTGCTTTGTAAAGTGTGTTTCAGTTATAGAATGCAGATTAAGTAGTGAAATTACAGAATAAGAGGCGTAACATCTTCGTCTTCTGGAATGGCAACGCATGAGTGCTATGCTACCACAGGTGTCTCATAATAACATAATCTTAGTGCTATTCATGAATATAGACGACGGTTATCGTGTAGCATCAGGTGGGCCATAAGTTTGTTGGCCTCACCAATTACATAAAAAAAATGAGATTTTCGAAGTGCTGGTTCATATTTAGAAGTGACACTTGCTAAATTCCATTTAGTGGGAGCCAATAATATTTTTACTTACTACATTTTTACTTTTTACTACTTTTACTCTATTCAAATAAAAATCAAAATATTATTATTCATGTACAGTAGGTCTATTACAGACTTATGATATGTCAAATCGACCGTCAGTTTGAAATGATTTCGAGATGAGAAGAACTGACAAGAAACTCCGATCGTATTCTTATAAATGTTGTAGATGTTTACAATAATACAGATTCGTATTATATTGTGTTTCGTTCTACTTCCTTCTTTGTTTTCCGCGCTCGACAGAGAGAAACTCTCCCGCAAACTATCATCACGTCTGTCTTTCCCTTTCACACAACATTCCAGTTCATGCATCAACTTATCCAATTCCATACATATACTACTGTAGGTGGCCACTAATATATATTGGTGTTCCTGCATTACTTCAATGTATCTAAATATAGTACAACGTGCGCAGCCGGCGTCGACTGGTCCAGAACAACATGTACGTGGGCGAGTTCCCGGAGATGATGATGAGTGTGGTGGCCAATAGCACAGTGTTCGTGTACCCACACCTGTTGCCCCCGGTGCCGTACCGGCTCGACCTGTCCAGGCGGTTCTGTTACTTGCCCTCGGAAGATGAGTGAGTTTATTATGGGTATTTTCTACCTTCATTACTTTTTTTATATTTCCGTCATGTTCCGATAGATATAGGACGATGAATGTGATCTATGATCTAATGAATAAAATGCGTATGAATATACATGTTTGTTTATACATATCAATCCCTATTTTTAGCAGCGATATTTAAATGGCAGGGCACGGTATATGCTTGCGCTGACACGCCTTACGCATAATGGTATACGCTGGCGAAAAACCAGTGGAGTGTGATATAATTCATTATATGAGCATGAGGTCAGTATTATAATATGTCTATGGTCAAAACTGACCTGACCTCATGCACATTATATGATATGATATATAATTCACCAGGATTTTGTCAGGATGGTTTCCATGGGAAACCGCGTGGAGCACTGGTTTTATCGGTTCACATTACTAGCAAACCCGTTCCCCCTATGGCACTGTTTGCCGGGTCAGCTATTAAAATCATGATTCCGTCTCATCTGTCAGGCTGATGGTGCTGACTCTGGACCAGTTCTGGTCGTACGTAGAGAACAATCCGTCGCTGTACAAGCGTCCGCCGCACTGCCCGGGACGCTGGGGGCTGACGGCGGCGGTGGCGCTGGTCTCGCAGCACACGTTCCCGTGGCTGTCCCCGCGCCTGCTGCACTCTCACCTGGCGCACTGCCGCCGTGGCCGGATATGTGACAACCCTATATATGTCAGTACTATAATAGCATAGCGAATGTGTACAAATAAAATCCTTGGACAATTCACACAGCGCCGTCTAGTATAAATTAAGGAATAATTTCAGGAATTAAAAGTAATAATAATATCCTTCACACCGTCTTGTGACGTTATCCATTGCGTCATCAATCCCAACTTAAGCAGAGCTTGTGTTATGGGTACAAGACAACTGATATAATATATAAATACGTAGATACTTTTTTTGTAAATATATACATAGATAATATATATATATACAGCCTGACTGATACCAACTATACTCATGAATACAAATGTTTGTAGATTAGATATAATGAATCGAACCCGCGACCGCCAGATGTAAAGCCGTGTGCTAAACCACTAGACCACCGAGATCGTCGATATATTGATGTGTTTGATGACATTTTAATCCTTTGTCAACGCAACACATGACTGTTACACCCAGGTGTCACATGACAATGTGATATCTCTAATACTTTTCATGTATATAAGCTACGGTTACCACTTACCACCACGATCAGGTGGATAGTAAATTTATTTTCGATTTCAATTACATAAATAAGTGAGGGAATATGTATGTAACATGCAAAAAGTCTATGTGTAATTAATATTAAATATGTCTTCAGAAATACTTCAAGACACGCGAGGTGAAGCCTGTGGAACACAAACTGCTGCCTTTCAACCCCAATCGTACGTTATACGAACAACCCGAACATGAAGTCCCAAGGGTGTGGGTTCGATACCTCGCCAAGACCAGCAAAAAGTTCAGGGTATGTATTAATCAAGGATACTAAAGTCAAAATTGTATATTCATTAATTTTAGTAATATTTAATAACAAGGTCGAGTTTATATAATAATATAATACACACAAAATGAACACTGTTTTCAATCGTTTTTTTATTTCGGCGTAAGAGAAATAAATATTAATTGGGTGCTTTTTCGTTATTTACAATAGAAACAAACAAAAAAAGAAGTTATAATAAAATATATACTTTTACTGTTAATATCATACTTAAAATTATTAACTTTCGTTACAGACGTATATGCACCGGCCGAAAAGGAAACGATATATACTAAAGGAGCCTGCCGGCATACCATTCCAGTTTGTGCTGTCAGGAACAGACGGAAAAACACCCACTTCAAACCAGGACCAGAAACCAAACGAAGAAATCCGGGTGACGGATCCATCCACCACTTCACAGCCACTACCCGATCAAATAAGGATCAAAACATTATCTCCTGTACCAGCAAATGTATTCAAATTAGTACAAACAAGCACTGGTGCACAATTAATACCTCTCTCCCTAACCAATACTGTAAATTCGACTGTTACTCCCATAATTTCAGCTAAACCAAGCGAATTAACTCAAGCAAGTGAACCTGTCAAGGAAATAACAAATAGTGAAGCCCTAGAAATGCACTGCCAGTGTTGTATGATATTAAGAAAAATCTGCAAAGTTAGACAGACATTCATAACGGATTATTTTAGAAACAAAGAGAAAAGAAATGTTTGTTACTGTAAAAATGTACAGAAGTATCCTAGAATATCGAATAGGTTGAGGTTGTTATTGAATAAGTATAAAAGTGTAGTGGCCTGTTCGTTCTTTGATTTACAATCGAAATTGAACTGTTTAGAACAAGAGATAAGACAGGAAGTTATAGGGAAGGCTGTTGTAAATATAGATATTGAATCTGACATTTTGAGATTAGGCCCTAAATTAAAATGTGCTTCAGAAATGGATGACTTAGGTAAGTGTATATAAGAATATATATTCAAACATAATTACAGATTGTTAATAGTCATAATAACCTGCCTGTGCAATTCACACAACGCCATCTAATCCCAAGCTAAGCAGAGCTTGTGTTATGAGTACTAGAAATACTTAGATACATTTTTTGTAAGTAAATTCATAATCTTATTAATATTATAAACTCTTTTGTTTTTTACGCTTTCACGCAAAAACTACGGAAATGGAAATGAAATGGAGTTTGAGGAAACTTTACTATAATGTAGTTTATACATCTGAATACAACACATGGACTATAAATTTCATACGGGTGAAACCGCGGGCACAACTAGTTATATATAATATTAAAATGTATTTATATTCAATACTTTGCTAAGATATAAATGCTCTTATTATTTTTATATGCCTTTCTTACAGCTTTCGTTACGGCGTACCAATCAAAACTCACATTTCGGACTTCGGTAGCTAAAAACAACACAATAAAGAAGAAAGTCTACCACCTCCTGTCTAAATTCGATCTAGACAGAGGCGATCCGATAAAACTAGTTGATGATTTGGACAAAGTATTTGGAATAGAACTTGTTGACCTATACAAAGAATTCCTAGGCTTCTTGACGCCTGAACAGGCCGACAGTATAGGAAAATTCAAGGATTACTTCGTCCAAACGTGTATTTCCGATTTTGTTAAGTTGATTGAAGTGAGTGTTTATTTTTATTATTAATTTCTTTAGAGATATTTGAACATTTATAAAGAGCAAATGCACTTATTTTTTTAGTATCCTATTCAATTTAATTCCTCAAATATAAATTACTCTGCGTTAAAAGACCTATGAATTTAATCACCGATATAAATTCTAGCTATATAACTGGTTATTTCCATTACAGTTAAACTTAGTACTTATCACGTTTAGCGTACGGCGTGAATAGTACATGATTTTTGTTTTTTGTAAATTTATTAATTTGTTATTATTTAATACTGTTGGGTAAAAAAACGAATACGAGGGCAAACCTCGTTCGCGTCGTCCCCGCCTGTAGATATTAAATACGCGTAGCCGTTCCACTTTAAATATCCAATAGTTTGTTGATGTGTACTAGATGATATTTCAAATGAGATGATTGCGCGTCGTTGCGTTGTCTCTACTCCTCACTATTAGTGATCTCTTCATTGTTTTTGGTCGGTGTATAGACGCTTTAAAGTGGAGGTATTAAACCCCCAGGAACAGGTGTCCAATAAGAAACACAGACACAAGATCCTATGTGTGGTGCAGCAGGTCTTCTCGCAGGTGGGAGCAAGTGCTTGCAACGTGTGTAGTACTATGCTGACAAGCCTGCAATGCTACCCTGCACTCGCTCACCACTTGTTCCAGCTGTTTCCACACCGTCAGCGCAAGAGGTTAGTTTTTAGCAGTTATATTACTTGGTACTTTCTAACTTGAATTTATCATTACCTAATGGTTTACTTACCGAAGGTCGTGTAGTTCAAATATGTTTGAGACCACAAAAAAAAAATTTGTTAATTAATTTATGTCTCTGACTGACTCTTCAGTAATAGAAACACAATACGATTAATTTGGTTCGTTTTCATATCAAATTAATCAGATAGAAAGTGGTAGCCTCGCTACCTATCATGTTGTATTCAAATATAGACAACATACGGGCTTGTGATGTTTACGTTTTTACAATGCTTTTGAATATATCATCTGGAATAATAGTTGTTGAGGTACATATATTTTTTTTGTTTATGTTTTTTTTTATATATAAAGAAGTTAAAATGTTTTTTTTTTCGTATATCAGGGTGAATGACCAGGAAAGTAATATAGAACAAAATACAGCAACACAGACAGAGAAGGAAAATGAAATAGGAGAAGAAGATGAGAAAGACGCAGAGGACACGTTGGTAGAAGATGGTACACAGACAATGGATTACGAAGCCGATGATTCATCCAGGCATGATAATTTTATTACCATCTACTAGTCTTTACCCGCGACTTTGTCTGCTTTATTGTTTTTACAGTATTTTTTGAGATAAATGAAAACTATACCCGTTATCGTGATACAATATATCTAACGTCAAAACAATAACATTTATTCAGTCGTTTAGTTGTGAAACTGTAAGAAACAAACAGATATATTGCAACATTGAAATATTAGTATGGATTCTAATATTTATTAATTCGGCTTACATGTGTTTTATGCAGAAATTTCAAATATATTCGCTTCCACTGGTGTGTAGTTAAAAGATCATTTTTATTTTTTTTATTTTAGTGGTGAAGAGGAAGGTCCCAGCGATACTGAGCCTATCAAAGGAACTGAGCGTGTCAAAGAGGCTGAGTCTGTGACAGATCATCAAGGCGACAAAAATCAAGTTTCAGGGGTCCCCTTGGTTAATAATAAAACCTATTTTAGTGGCGACGATGAAACTCACAGCGGAACTGAGCTTCCGACCAGTTATCCAGATGTAAAAATTCACCTTCCAGACATTATCATTAAAATAGTAAGATTCAAATTATTTGTTACTTTAAACATATTTCTCGACATCAACTTCAAGTAATATTAAATTGGTTTCAACAAATTTATTTGATACAAATTGAATCAGGTATAATGTTTGACGAGTGAAATGAATGTGGTTGATTTAAGGACATTTTTCGGACTATTCTAATGCCGTAGATGACGTTTAGATCTTCACCGAGCGATACTAGCCCCCAGTCCAGTAGGCGCTCAAAACCCACAGAAGGATTTATGGCATGGCTAATGCCAGAGCAGATCCTACCTTGGCAATTTACTCATTATTGAATTTAGTTGAAAAACTATTTATATAGCTTCTCATTTTGCTGCATTCTATATTCTTTCTATCGTGCTTGCTGGCATACCATATACCTAATTCTGTGGCATTCTTCTCATTAAGCAATACTAAAGTAAGATTATTAATTCTAGTCAATAAAATGACATTTCCAGTGTTGCAGGTTTTTAGTTCCAAATAAATAGTGATGTGGTAGAATCGAGTTTTTACAATTAAAAGTTAGTCGAGATTACATTTTTTTTATTCAATATCAAATTGCCTTTATATAAATTAAAATTCTAGTATTAATTCCTCTGATTTTTACATTTTTTCCCAGCTTTTGTAATAATGTTATAGTGAGAAATTTTAATATGCTGGTAAGGTCCATATTTCTAAAATCGTATTATTTAATATGATATGTATTAAATATTTAAAATTAAAAAAAAAGTCTTTGATACCTAATAAAATAAAGCATGACTAAATGTGGAAGTCTATTGATTACCGCACATCACTATTGTAGCGGGTCACCCTTTTTTGTATCAGTGACAGTTGCACTTGTCATTTTACTGACTGGAATTAATAATCGTACTTTACATTATATATCTTACAAGTTTTAATCATACCCTTCATCTGTTCTAGGAACCCCATCATGAAAATATCGTAGACACACCAGAGTTGACAATATCCAAAACTGAAGTGCAAGATTACAGTGAATCTGATATGTCTATGGTAATAGTATCGGAAGATGAAATGGTTAAATCAGAAGCACCAGAGTGGAAAAGGGATGAAGATAAACTAATATTAGAAATGCTTAAAGATAATCTTACGCCTGAGGAACGAAAGGATAAAACGATAATAGAAATCGCCGAAGAGAAATCCATACTAGAAATGTTGTCACAGAGTTTATCACACAAATCTATACGTGATATTAGAGAACGTGTTATGTATTTATTAAAGATGCTGTTAGTTAGTGAAAATTAAAGATTTGTTAAATCTATGTTACGAACTACTTATTTTGTTTTATTAATAACAAACTTTAAATCGCAGTAGTACGCCTGCGTGATTTTTTGAGAAAAAATGCCTTATATTAATTTCGCCATTGTGTATTCTATTCTAGTCCATTGTATTCTGCAAATTAAAAAGAACATGTTCCGTCAATAATTATGAACGAAACATGTTTTTTAAAATTGTAATCTTTTATTATAAAATATGAAATCATAGAACGTTTGATGAATAATTAGAACCAAAAAGATCTACTGAAGCGAATGTAAAAACAAGTAAGTACTCTACAACGCAAACTGACAGTAACCACAACTAAGTTTATTGATCTGTGGAGAATTGGGTGACTTTGACAAGGCTATACTAGAAGGATCAAAGAAGCCGTCTAAATTTTTTTAGAAGAATCTCACAATACTTCCTAACAAGTTATCAATTAAAATATTTATTATATTGTTTGAAATATTAAATTAAATTAATTTTACAAATGGCACGTAACAGCAATGAAAATGATGATGATAATATTGATCCTACCTCTGTGGCATCAAACATTAAAAATTCCCTGAAACAGGTACTTTTTTATACGAAACTTTCTATAATATAATTAATGAACAAGGATATTCTTCTTTAAGTTTTCCGTTGAACAACATGACTTGAATTTTAGAGCTGTTGCTTTATACAGCTAGGATGTGCAACAAACCAAATTAACCATTTCCGCAAGTTCTTCAGCCAGGAACGGCGATATTCCTACACGAACAAGAGTGTAGTTATTAAATATAAGTCCTAATCAAAATAATTTTATAACAATGTGCTCTAAGATTCAGTTTGTTGACTTTTTTAATAACCACTAGAAAATCGTAGCTTCTCCATGAGATGTTAATTGAATCAGTTATTTCCTATTTAAGTTATATCTTGAGACTTACTTAGATTTTAGTTTCTTTTAATTTTTATGTGACTAATCGCAAACAAGTGGCCCTTTATGGAAAATGGTGATTATGGAAATTTTAAATTATATCAAAACATAAATTGATGCTCATAAGTTGCTTTTGTTGACATCTGATAGGGTTATAATTTCTTAATTTATATATATGTGGAAATTTTGCAAACATAATTTACTAAGTAAACTATTTGGCAACAGAAGTATGTATATAATTGTAGAAATTTTCTGATAAATTTATTTTAGGAAGTAATCAAAGAACTTCTTCATGGTTCATTCCAAGACAATAAGACAAAACTAGGCAATGATGCACTATCACTAATTGTCGAGGTGGCCAAGTGTCTTGTTACTGAGACTTGTCTACGGGCATCTACACAAGCTTTACGAGAGTCTTGTGACAAGGTTGAACTTGAACATGTTGAGAAATGCCTGCCACAGTTGGTATGTTCTTCCATATATAAAAATAAAAAGCATATATTGTACTTTCGTAGTTATCATTGATGATAAATTGAGAACTTACTGCATCTATATTTTGTGTGGCAGTATTACACTCATAGTTATTAAAGTATTATGTCCCAAATATAATATTAATTGCATATTTCTAAAGATACAATATTTGTATTGCTAATATTTTGCTCTAATATCCTCTAATTCCTCTGATATCTTCCTTTATTAGTGACAGCAAACAGAAATATTTCAGTCATTATTACATAAATTATTACAATTTAATTTTTCTCTACACATATGGTTCAAATGAGAGACTAAATGCAGAATAAAGAGTGCAACATACAATTCAATTTCAGATGTTACTATAATCTTTGTTTTTTACAATGATTATTACATTGTCAATTTGGATATTTTGCCTGTTTTGTTAATATAAAGATACAAAAGAATACACATATACATCTATGGGTAAAATATAAACATAAACAAATGTAATATTTAATTAGAATTTTCTAAACTTATTATTACTGATATGTTTTAATATACATTATTATCCATTACAGATGCTGGATTTCCCATAAAATTATGTAAGAATAACAACTGCATAATTGAGATTGAATCTGGATCATCTATGGATTGAAGATGCAGATTATCAATACTAACAGAGTATGAAAAAAAATCTGTGTCTATCTATCTAGTATAATGGAAATAGTTCATTAGAAAAAACCATTTTAAATATTTACTATATGGTTCTAATTATTTAATTAAATCAACATTGGGTTAGTCTACTCTAAAACATCCTAAAATTGAAAACGGTAAACTTTGTTTTAAATGCAACAGAATGTAAATAAATTTTCTTCTAGTATGTTCTTGAACTTTTTATTTAAATTCAATAAATTCGAATTCATCCTATTTTGATTCTGTCAAAAGTTAGCCTGCTGTTTAAGGCTTAAGTCTAAGAAGGTTTACTTATGTAATATATTACTATGTGTTCAAATATGTCCCAATATACTTTTAATGACATATGTATATTATAGATATATGAATTTGTTATTTTACTTTTTAAGTGGTTTTGTTTTAGTTTTGTTATACCGTCTACAGTAAGAAAAATGACTATTTTTTACAGTATGTTCACAATATACCTGTCTAATTTCTTTGTAAAGTGACATTTGCTACATACTTAAATAATAAAATGTTTCAAACTACTGCATGTACTATAATGGCTTTAAAAATACTGTTCCTAGGCAATTTATAAACAATTGTTTCACATATTTTAACTCTAGTTGCAGTATTGTGCGCATTTATATTTTTATAATTTCAAATTACTAATTATTAGATATAAAATTATTTTTGGAAACTATACTTTGGTTGTAGTAGCAGTGCCTTAAATATTTAATACCATTGCTGGTACTGTATTTTTTGCACACTGTAAGATGTTATCAATTATGGCACTGTAGAGAGAGAGATACAATAACTGAAGAATAAATTCTATATACTAAAAATTGTGCTCATATTTCTATACACCTGTCAATTTTCACAAAGCTTATTAGATTATAGCATTTAGAATGGGTAGTAATAAAATGTCTATAGATTATATCCGCAGAGGATTTTTTTTCATCATGTTCAAAATTTCAAATTTTCCATTTGTATTTCGAAGGGACAAGTATATGCCGATAATTTTGCTATTTACTGCATCTTGCAGAATTTTATACAATTCTATGCAGACCTTATAGTCACATGGTCTTCGAACTCTTGTAATCTCAATTGTTAGTCTATATTCATCTAGGTCTAGTTAAGAATGGAGATTATAGTATATAGATACTTAATTAATATTCTTTTTAGTTAAATCTTCACTGTATTTCCTTTTCTGCGGCTCACGGGGCTCAGCCCAGCCCATTCCATGACAATATATTCATATAAAATACTATCTCTATTCAGTGTTCTATACAATAATATTGTTACTGTTAAATGTAAAAAACGGATATAATTTGTTGTTAAAACTCAAGAGAAGCAATAAAGATATATATATTATAGGATTTTATTAATTGGTTCAACCTTAATTACTCAACTAGTTGTATTTATTATTTTGACACTAGTGAATTAGTGGTAGCTGGTAGTTTGTATTCCAACATTTCAACTTAAAAATGTAAAGTTACAACTAAATTATTTAATAGAGCAACACACAAGGTTCTTGCTCGTTCGTCTTGTGTGAGGTAGCTTTCTGTATACTCTATAGATAAAAAAGTTATGACTATTAAAAAGAGCCCAAATTTAAGTGTATTTGAATAAAAAAAAATCAATTCTATTCCTTCATTAGAGTATCACAGATACCTTCCTGTGATACTCCAACAACAAATACAAATCTGATATTTGAAATTCAACAATTGAAAATAAATCACAGTCTTAGTCTACATAAAAATTCGTCTGCTTGGGCACCTCTGTCGTCACATATCTCAGACGCCAAGCAGCTTGGTTTGTAAAATCGGTTTAGATTTCAAGGTGAGAGATGGCAGTGAAATTACAGGGTATGGAGGCATATATTAGGCATAGGCAACGCAGGGCACCATTCACATTCACGGGAATTCCATTTTAATCACACGTGATATGCGTAATGATAAGTGATGTTAACCCGTCAGTTTGGTTGCATTTCAATTTTGAGTTAGGCACGTAGCTAGCAACACAAGGCGTTGGATCTAATCACATCATTATATTTTTAATATTAACTAATATCAGGAGGTGGTTGTATGTTGGTTTAATGAACTTACAACAACGAGATAGTACGTGGCTATGGCCTACGAGCACCTGCTGCTAACAATTATCAGCAATACAAATTAAAAGCTACAATTTTCAATTATGTACCTAATATTCACAGATAATCATGGATAATTTCACAGTTGCGGTTAGGAACTTTACAATCTTTTTTTTAATCTACATTTCTCAAGAGGTTCTTAGAAAAAAAAGATCCCAAACGCATCGATTGCACTAATTGAACATCGTTAGAACGCTAACATATTAGAAGCGCAGGTTTCAAACACATTCATTACATTCGTGTTAAATAAATAAAAACATCTGAATCTTTTGCAAGTTTTATTATACAAAGTATCTCAGAGTCTTCTATAATATTGACGTCGCTGTACATAGTTATTACTACACTTATTAAACAGTATTTATTTTCGTAAAAAACAATGCATTTCGCCATGGACGTACCCTGGGGGAGAGCATTTGCACCCCCCTGAAAATGGTATATGTTACAATATAATATACACAAACCGAAAAAATCCCCCTAGGGGAAATACTCTCAACAATACTCTCACTCCCCCCCCCCCCCCCCTTCTAGAAACCAGAAGCTAATCTGACCTGCCCCACTATAGGTAACTAGGTACGCCCATGCTTCTCGTTTAATACCATTGCTACTGGCGCTGTCCTCAGCACCCTAGACATGGCTAGGGTCTCCTTACACATATAATCTGATCCAAATTAAAGTTAACCAATTGAATTTCAGTGTTCATTGGCTCCTATCCACTTATAGTGCCCAGCCAAATCTAAGTAAAAAACAATCAAATTTTGGTTTGGGTTCATTTTAATACGTTTTATTATGAGGTACTTCTCTAGTACAATTAAGTGAACTATTGTGGCACAGTTGCTTATGTATTATTTTAAATAATACCATAGAAACTACAGTGAAACCTGGTTAATTGAGATCCCAAGGGACCAAGAATTATGTACCAATTATAAAGGTTTGCCAATTAAGCAGGTTTAAAATTATAGTTATCTCATTTACTCTGTAAAAGATAGACCCCGCTTAGAGATGTCGAAATGTACCGTTATTCCATTTTTTTTATTCTATACAAAGTTGACTGTGCTATGTTATTTTTTCTACATAGTTCATCACGCGACTTTCCACAATCATAATTTGATTGCGGAAAGTCATTTTTCTGATAACGTTTCATATTTACGTTTGGACATTTTGTACACTTTTCTTACAAAACTGGGCTTTACTGGACTTCTCATTGCATTGCACCTTAATAATAGAGGAGGTTTCTCACTTATCCAGGTTTCACTGTATTACAACATAAATTTTTTTTCTATATTTTACAATTAATTATTACATAAATAATGTAGCACTTTTGCATAAACAAAATATTTCCAGACAAATTCGTTACTTATGAACTTTGAATTTTTGTAATGTAAGTTTTCCACGGAAGATCGCGGAAAGTGGCAAGAGCTCCACCGACAAGAGCGTAGCTCTTAAATTATGAATGAATGAATGAAGTTTTCCACTATACAATAAAGTTTTTTAGTAAATCACCAAAGTATTTACTAGGATTTAAGTAATTACTGCTGACAATTATTGTACATATATATAGACTACTAGCTGTCCCGGCAAACGTTGTTTTGCCTTAAAATAAAAAAAAAATTAGAGGTGGACTACCCCTAACATTTAGGGGGATGAAAAATAGATGTTGGCCGATTCTCAGGCCTACTCAATACGCTCAAAAAATTTCATGAGATTATATAATTTCAGTAAATTTACAGTGGAAATTTTTGAATGTTGTTTTTTATTTCTCTGAAATCGAAAGTTTGTCGAACACTATCCATTCCGAAACGACATAAATAGAGCTCAGAATACTGTGCACGCAAAATCCACTTTACGTTTATGACTCAAGATGGCCATACAGTTATATTTTGGCAATAAATTACTAACTAAACCACATTTTTAAATTACATTTATGCATCTGTTTAAAATACTTGACATTTTATACACTAAGAGGCGATACAGTGCCATGCAGGAGTCAGCTAAAAACAATTTAACGTATTAATGGTACATACTGTTGAAATAGCTTCTTATATTGAACTAGTATATTGGTTTATGGGGTAACGTCAGTTATCTTTTACTTGTCAGTCATTTTTTAGACATTTTTCGCAACTAAGGTCTGGGGCTATAAACATAAATATCACTTCATTTTTAAGAAGTGACTTAAAAAAGAATAACTCGTTCAGGCCCAAAAAACGACTTCCATCGCATTATTAGAAATAACTACTTGTGATGACTTGATCAAATTGATATGAGACCACACACCACTAATATATAAATGATTCTATAAAATCGATTGTATACACGGCCAAATGCAATTCACGTCAAAAGTAAAATAAAATTATTGCAATTGCTAAAGTTGCAATAATTTTAAATTAAAAACTGCAATTTATCTATAATAAGATATCCGTTTGAGACCTTTCAACTCTAAACTGACTCTTAGATAAGTACTGAATTCAAAGAATTTGATCAGGGAACGTACAAGCATTTAAGGGACCCCTGGACCCCTACAACCCGCCACTGATTTTTCATTTGTATCCTAATATAAATATACTTAATACAATTTGACAAACAACAAAAATATTGTACCCTAAGTCAAAATAGTGTGATATAAGACTGATAACTAAATATATGCACATACATTAATATGCTGAGTAAATAGTATAACGAATATTAGTAGAAATAGAGAATATAAATAAATAAAAATATAAATCTACACTATTGAAAATTATTTAACATACAAATTTATTTTACACTACTAAAAAAATACAAACGTTCTCAATTATAAACATTTGTATTTTTACATTTGTTTTTTCTCCTTTTTTATTCAAAGACGACTCGGCTTTCGACTAAAATAAAAATCCTGTGACTGGTTACAAAAGATTTCCTTTAAATGGTTCATAATGAAATGAAGCACCTGCTTTCGCTAACGGTATATGATACTAGTGAAGAATAAAAACCGGTCAGTTAGCTCAACGTTAGGAATTCTCCAGGAATTTAACACGGGGGAATCTTCACACAGATCAACCTGTTTCCATTACTAACAAACTTTTAGCTTCTTATACTGACTTATGCAATAATCCCATATAAAGTGACACGTCGCCGCTATATAGCCGACTCCTGCTGGACATATAAATAAACTATTAGTATTGTCTATTTCTACTTATAACATACAGTCGCAAGTTATTGTGAACAACACACTCGATTTATTATAAAAATATTTTATAGGCGGATGTGAACACCGTTATGCTTCATTTAGTTTCTACATTTTATTGGAAAATAATCTACAACAGAAATCTAAAACATTTAAAGTATTATTTATCCACAGAAGTAGTAATATATTAATATAATTACATTTTCAAATTGAGAGATTTATATTTATTAGATATTAATATGGAATCCAATGATTGGGTGCCATTTTGTCCTCATATTTTAAAAATATCTACTGCTCATATCATGCTCAAATCAAGTAATTATAGGGTAGATAACTTTACATAATCATAACTCTTCAATACACCCTTATATATTAAACAAATATATCTCAGCTGGTATTTAAGTGGTGAATAACAAATTATTTATATATATATTTATAAATTTGTAACACAATGGAAAATAACTATTATTCTACAACATTGTAATTGACTTAGGTTGCTAATATATGTAAAGTTACCCATTTGTAAAGAGGGTGGGCCATAATAATTTATTACACCAATGGTGTCTCCATTGGTACGTTGGTTGCAATTAGATAACCTCACGACAAACCGTCTGTATATCAGCAGCCTTATTTCTATAATTTGCTAATCAGTATAAATCAATATTAATTCTACATGCAAGGATTTTTAAATAATGAATGCTTATTTGTTTGGATATTATTTTATTACAAGCTATTTTAATATGTACTAAACATATTAAAATAGCTTGTATTAAATTGGATCAAATAATTATTGTTACACTGTATCTTTACAATAGGATTTCTGAGACAAAATAATGTATACTTAATGTTCAAGCCAAGTAAAAATCTTATATCACACTCTAAGACTAGGGTGAATAAATAATTGTGATTAATTCTATCCGATATTGTTCAAATATAGCCTAATTTAATTAATGATAGACCAAGATTATACATCAGTACCATTATTAGCTTGATCTACCTTATATAATATAAAAAACAATTATGAAGAAAGGCTACTTTTATATCAAAAATTTTAATAACCTCTTGTATTAGAGCCTAGAGCTGCAATAAAGTCTAAAATTACTGACACAGCCCTAAATATATACTTAATGGTGACATAATCATACAAACGCGAGGAGATCTGCTAAGTCCAATAGAGGCAAGACACTAAGTACTGCATATTACACACTTAATAATAAAATTATAGAACTCAGAAAACATGTTTTGGAAATACATCTTAAAATCAATATTTAAGTTCAATAGTTTAAGTTCAATAATTAATTTCTGAGATGTAGTATATTACTTTAAACGTGCAAATTATAGTCCAATTATAATAGATCCATATTTCTGTTAAGGCGGGTCCAATGCCAACAAAATAAAAAAAAAAATACGTTTTTTGCTAAACATTGCTGTCAGTCGCAGCCGTAGCGAAACTTTAAATATCGCTCAACTAATGTAACTAGTGACCATTTTCACGATAAATACAAAATCCTTCCCGCAGGTAAATACGGGAATATTTTCTATGGATTTTATATATTTACATTCATAATTATTCGTTTTGTTTGAGGCCTTGGTAGCATTATCATGCTAGAGACGATTATCCATAAATTACGTCAGACGAATTTCATGACTTTTGACCCTCGTCTTTGTCGGAGCTGTCGGACAAATTTCTGAGACTACGCCTCCATTGTGTGACATCACATATTTGCTACTCGTAAACCGAGTGTTAACTAGCCAACAAACCAATTTAAGCCGTAAATTTATGTACACGAAGTTGAATATACATATTTATAAGTTTTTCGTCAATAGTAAAAATTTTGTGTTTTAATACTCAGATATATTAGATTTTGAAATGTGACGTCACGAAATTTAGTACCCCTCCTTCCCCTTGGCACATCTGGTCGACTAACTCCCCCCTTAACGTGTGACGTAATTAACGGATTACCCCTAATATAAGAGTGTCGCTGCAGACCTCTCCTTACACTTTACCATACTAAGCACCACATACTTTAATTAGAATAAATCCATATCATCATTACACATAACCTCTAGAAAATCATCGTCTTCATAGTCTTGGAGAGGGCGAGTCCGGTCTGGGAGGGGTGAGCGTGGTCGGGTGGGGGAGGGGGCGGTGGCGTCAGTGTGTGAGTGACCGTCTGTGTCGCTGGAGCAGTCGCGCGCATCTGTTGCTGGCGATGGCGGCGGATTTGACCCATGCTCGGATTGAACCGTCGCCTCCCCTCGTGACAACAATGATGGTAACTCCGAATCTGAAACAAAATAAGTGTTCACCTTAAATTGCCATTCAAAAACAAACCTTATTGGGGTAAAGAAACAATCTTCAAATCTTCTTTTTATGGTCTTGCATTTAAACTGTATCATTGGAGTTAATTTCATGTTGTTTTGTCAGTGTAAGTTCAACCTTTATAAACAACACATAGGACAACAGAATAACAAATGAGTTAGTCATCTAACCACCATCTAATGGGAACTGGTAATGTTTACCTGTACCCTTGAAAAGATCAGCAAATATCAATATTTTATTCTTAAATATACATAGGTAATAAAAAATTACTACTCTTATATTCATATATACTTAACATAAGTATTTTTAAATAGTCATATTTTTTTATTCTACCACTCATTCGGAATATAGATTCATCACAAGCAGGTAACATGCATGTTGCTTTGTCTTTTTTGAATAAACGTTGTTCAGCATTACTGTCTTAAGAGTTAATGAAATTAATACATACCAGTTAAACTTTGCTTTAATTGCTCCATGACCTTCTGTCGACTTTTAGCCCGCGCTTTTCTTATTCGGCGTGACGTTTCTTTACGGTCTTCGTTAAAGATCTGATTTATCATTTCCTGGGATACATCTACATCACGTTTTAGTAGAAAGAAGTAGATACCGCCTGGTGTCCTTCGTCTGGCACCATTCTAAAAGTTAATTATTTAAATTTTATAATGTTGTTAAGGCCTAGTGGTTACTACCCTGACATAAGCCAAAAGATTGAGAAACCAAATCTGGCAGAAAAAACTTTGCGTGTCAATTTATATTATGACTAAATTTACAAATAGAAGTCTTTATTCAAATAAACTTAATAAGAATACTTACTTTTAAATAGTCATATCTTTTATTATTCTGCCACTTGGAATGCAGACTCATCACAAGAAGTGTGAACAAAAAATTTGAATGATCTTTTAACTATAAATTTGTTCTAAGTAAATTCACAATTTCTGATGGAAATATGGATAACAAATGTATTTAATTCATAAAGGTGGATGCTTCATAATGAAGCATCAGCCAGCAATCAGCAAAGTTTTCTTTTTTATGGTTGTAGACAACAATTAATAAAAAAAATTTGTACATATCCCTATTATTAAAGATAAGACTTAAAGAACTCACCACAACAAGCATGCCACCATCTGCCTCAACCCTTTGTGTTTCCTTATATAACTCTACTGCTTTATGGGCACCTATTACTTGCACTATTCTAACTGTAAAAATAAAATTAGTACTTACATAAGAGTTCTCGGGCTTCCTTAATACTAATAAGAATAACAACCCTGGGCAACCAACACATCACAGAGATTGAGTCATGGGTACTAGACAACTGATATAAATACTTAAATATTTCTTTTGTAAGTACATACATAAAAAAACTAGACCAATAGAAGCAATCATACTCATGAACATGTTTGCATAGATTCAAACCAACAAAGCCATAAATAAAAAAATAAATTAATAATCTGGATTCATTATTTATTGTTGTACACACTAGTATTTATTTATAATAATGAAAATTAGGTCCTAGATTATTAATATTTGAATACTACAATAATACCCAACCTTGCTCACATTTTTATTTATTTTATGGATTTGTTAAGCTAGATTTTAAGTGTGTAATAATGTTTATGAAAACTTTAAAGTGGATTTCATAAACATTGTAAATTTTTAATTGATGCACTATTAACTAATATAAACATGCAATATATGAACAGCAAAAAGTCAACATCCAGTTAGATCAACTTACCTACTAAATCCTTTTTTTCTTCAGATAATTTCTCTGCAATGTCATTGGCAATCACTTCTATAGACTCCTCAACTGTTACCAACAAATCAGGTAAATATCTTGGTTTATATTTTTCATCTTTAGCTAAATTGCTGTTTACTCTTTTGCCAAGCCTCAGTTTAGCATTACCCCTGTCTGTGTTACTCCGCTTATTTGATGAGCGTTCAAGATTGTCATTGCTGTTATTAAATACTTTTTTAGATACATAACTATCATCTAATCTATATTTAATAGTATAATCATAAGATTCCACACCATATGTATTTTTCTTTGTAACACCACAGCTAACCATATCCTCTGTCAGAATGTCTTCCTGAAATAGACATAAGAGGTGAGTCAGTTTGTTATTCTGATATACTGAATGAGTGTATTTTTAAACTTGAGTGTTTATATTTAGAGTGTTTACGATTTCTGACTAATATCATATTGGGGCCATATAGAAAAAAAATTATATAATTTCAGTATTATTAAGGTTATGTCTAATAATGGTTTGATGCAATTCACAGAAACAATAAGGCATAATGCTCTGTGACATTGTCATTACTGTATGCCTTTTCTCAATGGAGCAACCTATACATTAATTATTAAATTCTTTACTCGTAAAAACTAAAATATCTGTGAATCTATTTTGTTTTAATATATTTATGAAGAAATTAACTATAAAGAAAAGGACGACACAATTCAATAATGATAGGTTTAATAAGATGAGGGGAATAAATCTATTTATGCAAAAAACTTGATTTGCAGCTTTTACAGGTAAAAATTTATTAGAATTAAAACAATTTTAAAGTAATACTTAAAAAATATATTGATCTTGTAACAAAATGACCAAGAATTAATGATAGATGATAAACCTCAATAATACAGTACACAAAACATTACTAAACAAAATAATTTTGTGTTTGTTAGTCAAGCAACCATTTATACTACTATCACTGATTCAGTTTACATACCTGTAAGGTTGTACACCAAATATTATATTTATTCTTCTTATCCGACTGTCCCTGTGCCTGTGGCCGTTTTGGGCGCATTTTAAGTCGCTTTGGTCGCTGCTGCCGCTCATCATCAGATTCTGTGGCTGACGATTCCCTTGATTCTTCATCGCTTTGTTCATCCTGTATTTGCATATGCACTAACGAAGGCGGGTTGAACGCCTCCGGCCGTTCGAGGGGGATATACGTGCCACCTTCTAGGTCCGAATCCTCCAACTGAGAAAATAATTATTGGAATATAATTCACGTAAACCATAGACAGATTAATTTACTACATTATACGATGTATAATAGAGATATCGTTTATATTAAAACAACAACTTCGCAATAAAAAAAACACAGGTGGAGAATAAATGTAAGTCAAAAAAAGGCGTAAAAAGCGTTCTAACCTCCCCTTCCTCTCTTTCATTGGAAACTTCGATATCTAATTCCCCTTCTGTTGTTGACATCATACTTTGGTGATGATATTAATGATAAATAATAAATGCTCATGAAATTAAAACGAAATAAAGCTATTCCGCCTTTTAACACTTCACTTCGCAACAATTCTTCATTACTTGGCTAACTGTCAATGCTACCTGTCAGTACTGACATTACGAGATTCTGTAAATAAAAAAACATTGAAGCATAGAGCAAAAGAAATCGAGGTTGCAAAGAAAGTTCGTTTACATTACACTGTTGTCCATTCTGTATTGTTTTTTTAATTGATAATAATGGAATGGTGCATCTGCTTGCCTTAATGGTTTAAGCTGGCGGGGCACCAGAGGAGGATGATAAGATGAGCATGAGGTCAGGTCAATTATTACTACTCATCGAGAAAAATTCACCAGAAATTTATTATTATAGTTTCCAGAGGGAACTGCGTGGAGGTCATCCTATCTTGGTACATTGCTGGCTTCCTACAGTTATCCTAGTTATCGCAACTGGACTTTATTTATATATTTCCGCGCGAATTACAATCCTGTTCTAAACACGATTATCATGATATATAAATAAATATTGTAAAATTACAAAGCTAAATAATAAAATACTAAAATATTTATTACGTTACAATAAATATTTTATTAGATATTTAAAAAAGATAATTACTTTGGAACAAGATATTGTGATAAAAATGCCTGTAGGTTAAATATATTACTTATATATTGAACCTACACTATAGGTACATAGATATATACATAAAGCTCTTTCCTGTCATTTTATTGTAATTGTGTTTGTTTTCGACGAAACTGACTTGAATTATTAATATAAAATTAATTAAAAATTTTAATGGTTTCTCACTCTTTAGATTAAGTAAAAATCCGTTTGAACCGAGTTGAAATCCGATCATCATTGAAATAATGTAGTTCTGGACGAAACATCGAACAAAATGTAAGTAGGAGATTCGATCTCGTTCCGACTACACTTGACTGTTCAAAACTTTATAGTCAAATACTATAATAAGTACTTGTATAGAATTAATAATTTATTTTATGGTCATTATCATCATTTTACAATCATTAGAATTTATACTTGTTGTTTATAATATAAATTTTGTACGTATTGATGATTAATCAGTTTGATTCTTTGTTTGTGTGTTTACTTATCAAATGACAAATTATTTCAGGGCAGCTTTTGAAGCTGTTAGCAGGCTTATGATAAAACCCCTTGGGAGCAGGTTATCCCTTATAGACTTTAGACGCGCCGCACTTCCAGAGATAAGATCTCAAGATGACGGTTTCGATCCACGCCTATATAGAGACCCAAAATGCCCCATAAGGTATGATTTGCTATGAAGCCCCAATACAGTAATTTTCCCCCTTTTAAAGGGCTTTTCTCATCAATCTTTTCTTTAAAGAGGAGTTAAAAATATTCCATCAGGGAAAAAATCCAAAGATAATTTTGAATGAGCTGATAGGGCTAAACTTTCCGTCATATGGGTCGCACCTGACGGAAAGTGGTAACCTTGAGATATGTCTGTTGATTTCTACCAAAGGCGTGTTGCCTTTGGTAGAAATCAAGCGGAACACAAATCAGAGAGGTATTTTTAGGTAGGTTTGGGTTTTTTGGAATTTCGAGTCGTAATATCCAACTTTAACTCGAAACGCATAAGTGGAATCACGGGTGTTACATGATATCAGGAAGTCCGTAGTGTTGTAAAATCTGTATGTAGATTACGGTTGCTGCTTACCATTACTTGGGCCTTCAGATTGTTTGTTTTTTTTATACTACGATGGTGACAAATATGCAAACGGCCTATCTGATGGTAAATGGTTACGTAGCCTATGAACGCCTGAGACCAGGCCAGGGCCACCTTATTATACCAGTCTCGTGAGAAAACTTCGTTACCTGCTATTTTCATTACATACAAAAATTCTTCATACAATAAGGTTATTTTTACTAGCAACAACAATAATAAAATATTAGGTTTTCAGACCGTGGATGGCGTACTTCAATCTTCTACGTACAGGGTTCGGGGCTGGTGTGCTGGGCTTGCCGCTGGCTATCAGCCAGTGCGGCATCATCCTCGGTCCACTTATGACACTCGCTACAGGAGCCCTTATGATATACACACATTTGACATTGGTGCGAATTTTGAATATACATATAACCCTGGACAATACAATATGAAAGTTTCAAATTGTTAATTAGTGTATATAATGTGGATGACGTTTTATGGTACCTTTAGCGCAGGCGGGTGCAACATTCCACTATCATCTGTGGAAAAAAAGAACTATTAGGTATCTGTGAGCGAAAGTCCAGTCAAAATCTGTTCAGCCGTTTTAGAGATTAGCAAGAACAAGCAAACAGACAAAGAAAAAAAATATTAATTATATTTCTGTTGTATGTAAGGTTCAAAAGTCATTATACTTTCATAGGCATTTAGTGAAAATTTCATATGCATTTTAGGCTGTTAATTTGAAATCACATACAGACACTTCAATTATATTTGTTTGTATATATATAGCAGTGAGTATAAAAAATAAAGTGATTATATAATTTCGTCTTACAGCTACGGTGTCTGAACGAAATTAGCCGGCAAATGAGAATTCCATATATTTCCTATCGTTATGGATTTCGTATCGCCCTACTTCACGGTCCACCTATTTGCCGTTTTATTGGGAAAAGGGGTCCGTAAGTATTATCACAGATAAGAGAATTAGTATTATATATTTTTTATAGTAATATAAAAAACCGATATTATACATATACGATTACAAAGTCCTTACAGAATTCCTGAACTGGATAATAAAAGGGAAAAAAGAAACTTAGATTCTGCTATCTTCTAACAGAATCTAAGTTTCTTCCGAACATATTTGCCAATGCAGCAGCAAAATTGTGTAAAATTATACCTTTACGACATAAACATATAGTCAATAGTGTTTTAACCGATGACATTATATATACGTATGGAATCCAACGTAGCAGAAAAAGAGCCTACCGTCGCCTCTCCGTTAAATTTAATTTGTTGTAGGAGTTTCTATCACTAGTATCCATCTATACACATAAATAAAATTGAAGTGTCTGTTTGTAATATTGATATAACCGTTTTTTACTACAAGCATATGAATATAAATACGGTAAATACATCAAAATAACATTCATTACAATTTTTTGATTGATTTTGACGGGACTTTTTTCAGGGTAGGGAGCTGACGTAATAAGGAGTAACTTAAGCTACTTTTATTTTAGAAAAATAAAGTTAAATTCCACGCGGACGATGTCGCGGGTACAGCTAGTTACAGATATAAATTACATATAAATTGTTTTTTGATGACAGCGAAACCAAGGAAATAAATACGTAGAGCAATGGTATTTCCAAACCGGTACGACATTGAAACATTCAAGGGAGCTTATTCCATCTTCAAAAGGCCGGTAACGTACTTGCAATTCCTCTGGTCTTGCGGCTGTTTTTGGGCGGCGGTAATCACTTATGTAACATACAATGAGCTTTGTCCCCTATGCTATAAAAAATGTCAGCCATCTATGTTATATCTATACGTAATATATTTTTATTTACAGAACTATCATAGCAGTAATGATGATGTTGAGCCAAGTTGGAATCTGTACAGTATTTGTGATATTTACTACAGACTCTTTACGTGATGTTAGTACTAGTACAGATAGGATAATAACGTAAATGTAAATTGGAAGGAAAATATTTTTTTTGTGTCGGCCAAATGTATAATCTACGACCTCTTGGGAAACTAATAGGCCACTTAATATTATGTAACATGTATATAACTATATATATCTATAGAAATTGTATGTGAACCTTTGTTCACCTCCGACAATCGTGAAGAAAGGATCACAAAATATAGACGTATTTTATTTCTTTAATTACGTTGCCTTGAATGTGTTACAATGGTACAAGTTGACTTTAAATTATTAAAAATATCAATAATAATTTTATTGTCGCTTACATTTAATCATCACTGACAAGATAACATTGTCTATTATAACAATCTAAATATATATTATATATATGCATATATAAACTAAGTTTATCACAATACAATACACACATAAGTGGATTACAATTAGATTTATTATTTAGCACACTAGGGACCAATATTGTAGCGTGGAGTCATAAAATGGAGAAATTAAAGACTATCTGTGAAATTGGTGTTAATGTAGTATTGTAAAAGTGAATTTGAATAGTGCTAGTAAATTCTTATTTACGATTACTACCTGAATAGGAAGAACAAGTAACAAAACGAACGAAATATCACGTAACCCCGTTCTGAGGGTACAAATGTTATTAATTTGCTAAAATAAACCTGTTTAACCAATTTAAGAAAACAATCTGAAGCCTTTTTAGTTATAAGGTATTGGAATTTGCATAGGAAAAATGTTACAAGTGTGATAGAAGTATACACTGATCGTAATTATTTTTTCTTACTTTATGTAGATACGTTTGTTACGCAAGTAACGTTATAATATTAACTACCATTTCTTTTAGATCATGGATTGGCAAACTTCAAGACCGGCTTTATTAACGTTATTGCTGCCCTATATTTTACTAGAATTTTCCATGAAGACTTTGAAAATTGTTAGCTATGTCTCTTTATTTGGTAAGAATAAAAATTATATATACAAATATATAAAGTTGAAACGATTGTTTATAATTTCTAATTAATATCTTTTCAGTGACTTCATGTGAATGTATACGGTACTTCTAACAAAACAAAATCTGTCTGTCTGTTTGTTTCTGCTAATCTCTAAAACGGCAAACTGATGTCTCCAAAACGACTCCACGCGGACGAAGACGCGGGTAACAGCTAATATTCAGTGGCACTGAGTTCTACAGAGTTCCACGATGGTCGCGGATTCTATTCCAATATGGAAGTTTCGTTATGCTTCGCTTTCGTAGTACCAGTATTACAAACATATATTTTAAAATTCAAACTATTACTTCTGGTATTATCAAAATACATGTATACTCATTCTAGGATATCTATCTGTACACCGAATTTCATCAAAATCCGCCAATTAGTTTTAGCGTGAAATAATTTTCATTATTAGATGATCCATACATCCTCACAACCTTTTATATTCATTATAGTAGAGTCATTATTAAGTATACTTCATTTTTAGGTAATTTTCTGAACCTCGTGGGCTTAGTGCTGATATTTTATCTAATATTTGATGACCCTCATGGAGAAACTATAGTTGCCACAACCGAAGCGCTACCGTTTTTGTTTGCTTTTGGCACTTTTCTCTTTAATATGAGCGCCGTTGGAGTAGTAAGTATACTTTACTTTAAAATTTGTTTTACATATATAGTTGATAGCGTATTTTTTCATGATAGATAATGGAATGGTGCACTCTTGTGCAGTAAAGGTGCTGGTATAAGCACCTTTACTGCACGCATAAGTGGAGAAGATAGGGTTAGTTCGAAGTCAGATCAGTTAGCCCACAGTCGTGAAGTCACCAGGAATTAACAAAGTTGGTTTCCAGGAGCGTCACGCGAGAGTCAACCTAGAGTAACATAATATGTAATAATGGGGGGGGGGGAAAGATTGTTAGTAATGTGGACTCATGGTCCCATTACTAGCAATGTACCATGTCAGGTTGACCTCCACGCGGTTCCCCCTGGAAACCATCATGATAAATTCCTGGTGAAATAGTCACGAATTCACGATGGGCTAACACACCTGACCTCATGCTCATCTTATGATCCTCCACTGGTGCCCCGCCAGCGTAAACCGTTAGCGCAGGCACCATTCCATTGTCATCAATAAAAAAAATGTAATAATGGGGCTATTATTCCCCATTACTAATGATCTCTTCCCCCTGTACACTATCATGTATTACTAAACACTTGGAAGATAATATAATATAAGATGATACTGGGGGGGATTTAACAATAAATTTTCAAGGAAAAGGATAAGTATTAATAGTTGGCCCATATTAATTGTTTACAGTTTTGTCAATATCATACAATTGAGAACTATAAATAAATTTTAGGTATTATCATTGGATAAAGCGCTGAAATATCCGAAAATAATGACGGCGCGTTGCGGTGTAGTCATCATAGGTATTCTTGTACCTACCCTCGTTTCAACGGTATTTGGTACACTTGGATATTGGTCATTTGGTACAATGGAAGAGAATATTCTACGCTCTTTGCCTTTTGATAATCCGTGGGTATCTCTTATCTGTGTTGTTCATATCGTAAACAATTTTTTTTCTGTTTTATTGCATACTTTGTAATTTTTTCTTAATTTTCTTCTTCCGTCAATCTAGGATCCTCTAAGTTCTTGGAGTGTCACAGTAGACTTGTGTTCTTTATTTAGCAAAAAGTATTTCGATTTTTTAAAAATTATAAACATTTAGTTATTATATATAGCTACGATTTTAAAATACTTTCAACTATAGAAAGCGAGCATTATGATATATTGTATTTTTCAAAATAACTAGGTAATACAATAATAAACCTTGTGTCACGAGTAATTAATTTTTATCGTAAATAATTGTTTCGTGGTAATACAGGATAGCAATGACAGCTATAGGTCTGTATATGATCGCAGTAGCATTGGCATACCCCATACAATGCTACCCAGGAATACAGATTATCCTGGAAGTAGCAAAGAATCACCGCTTGTCCGAAGCACCATCAGACCGCACAATGAAAATATTGGAGTATATCGCTAGGCCAGTCTTCGTATGCACATCTTGTAAGCAAAACCACATATTTTTTATGTAGATATTTGTAACGGCAAACAACCGGGTAATCGTCGCCTATATAAATAAACAACCCTACGGATTTCTAGGTATCGTGTGCCATAAGTTGTTAAATTTAATTAATACCGATTATCACTGCCTTAGGCCTTATAAACCTGTAGAGATCGAAGTCTGCACTTCAGGTGGTCAAATGCCATAAACCCTGGTATTTGTCAAACTTATTAAACATTTATGATTTCAGTTACAATAAGCTACTTAATCCCGTTTCAAGGCCCATTTGTAGCATTTGTCGGTAGCCTCTGTACGACACTATTGGCCATTGTGTTCCCAGCCATGATGGAACTGTGCCTCATGTATCCCAGTCATTATGGAAAATTCCACATTCATTTAGTGAAAAATTTGATGATAATTATCTTTGGCATTATCATCTGGTTCTTTGGTGTAGTGCATTGTGGCTACCTAATCTACATAAGAATGTTATCGATGGAGTCTCCGAACGAAGAATTTGGTTGAAATATTATTTATGTACCACGGATGAAATTATTTTAATAAAATGAAAACGCTTAATAATTCCTAGTTTTTATTTTGTACTACCCACTAGTACCCGTAGTTGTAAGTATGTACAATGCGAACATTTTCCTCTTGAATCACTGTATTGTTAAAAACTGCATTAAAATCCGTTGCGTAGTTTAATAGATATACGCGAACAGACAGCGAAAGCAACTTCATTTTATACTATATTAATGTAAACATATCTGCTACAAAGCAACAAGGCATATATATATATTATAGTGTAATAGTTTCAGGATAAGATAACCAAGTCATCTCTGGCTCAATCTAGGTATAACATCCAATTACCTATCAATGAAGGGTGGTAGGATTATTATATATTGTAAAATTCTAAATATAAATAATGGATACTGGATAGTCATAGATTTACTATAAGCAGGGTCAAATCACCACCTATTACAATATCATCTCGATATACATTTTAGTATTGTTTGAAAATAGTTTTTATATCATGTCATATGTCAGAAGGTATAATTTAATTAGAAAAGTGCTATCAATCATTATTTTTACTATATTGTAAATAAAGCAATCATGAAATTATGCTTTTCTAATAATAATAGTATGTACGTATAATTTATCAATGAGAAATGCAATAAGTAACTAATAAAATTATGCAGTAATGAGATCAGGCGTTGTCAAATATTTTTATGTAATTGTTTTACTTGTAATCGTAATAATGTGTCAAAATAAATCCAAAGCAAATACGTAAGTTCCATCTATAATCTTAAAATATAATACAGTAAAGCTCAACTGCTTCTCCCGAGTACTAAATATTGTGAGTTTTGTATAATTAAGAAAATATACACTTCCTATGTCATTCTGGATTAATGTGACGGTGGCCTCCGTGGTCTAGTGTTTTAGCACACTGCTTTACATCCGATGGTTATGGGTTCGATTCCTCGCACGATACAAACACTTGTATTCATGAGCATGATTGTATCGGTCTTAGTATTTTGTATATATATTATGTATGTATTTACAATATATATATCCTATTTATATCACTTGTCTAATGTCCATAACACAAGCTCTGCTTAGCTTAGGACTAGATAGTGCTGCGTAAGAAAAAACATAGGAGGTATTTTAATTGTTTAATAACATAAAAAATACTTAACAATCGTCTTTTGCAGTATATTGCCTTTGTGGACTTGGGATTGCGTTAATGACAAGTGCGTGCCATCGAAAGCAACTGAAAGAGGGAAGTTACAATCTCTCATGACATGCAACATGCTATGCGCTTCAATGCAACTATGGCCTCAGCCTACAGGAACAGTAAGTCTGTCTACAACAGCTGTGCCAGTACGAGTTGATTTAATCGAGTTACAAATCATATCGTACCCATCAGAGTCCGTCCGTGATCACCTACGATACGCTTTTGAGTTAATGCGCAATGATCTACGCATCTTGGAACAAAACACGCATGGGTTTCAAGAATGGCGCAGCGTGGTCGTACGTGTCTCTGTCAATGGTAGTATAGACCCTCGTATGCGACTTTCAACAGACGAAAGTTATAAACTATCACTCCGACCTAAGAGAGGTCCTGGCGGTTCTTTAGTAGTAAATATTTTGGCACAGTCATTTTGTGGCGCGCGACATGCGTTTGAAACTTTTACACAGTTAATATGGCTCGATCCTCATGAAAATACATTGTTGGCTTTAGAAGCTGCGAAAATAGAAGATTTCCCAAAATTTCGCTACCGCGGATTAATGCTGGATACAGCACGCAATTACTTTCCAGTGAGAGATATAATTCGCACCATAGATGCTATGGCTGCTTGCAAATTGAATACATTTCACTGGCGTGCAAGTGATTCTCAGGCATTTTCAATATTTCTTAGTAGTGTGCCTCAGCTATCTGATTATGGTGCATATGGAAAGGGCGCAGTATATACTCCTAATGATGTACGAATTATAGCACGCCATGCACGATTGCGTGGAATACGGGTTTTGATTGAAATAGATACACCAGCACACGTGGGTAGAGCATGGAGCTGGGGAGAGTATGTCAAATTGGGAGATTTAGTCCATTGTGTAGATGCCGATCCTAAGAATTCCTACTGTAACGAACCACCTTGCGGGCAGCTCAATCCCCGGAACCCTCATGTTTATGACTTGTTGGAACGAATTTACACAGAAATAATTCAATTAACAGGTGTCACCGATCTATTTCATTTAGGTAGTGACGATGTCTCAGAACGCTGTTGGGCTGATCATTTCAATAAGACTGACTCTAAGAAATTATGGCTCGAATATATACGCTCAGCTCTGCAGCATCTCAAAAATGCCAATGGGCAATTACCAAGTCTTACTCTGTTGTGGACGTCGTCAATTACTGAAATAATGAAATCCGAATTAAAAGATTACATTAATATCATCGGTCTACAAGCTCGAACCGCCGCGTGGGCTCACAAATTTGTTGTTGGCATTCGAACGGTAGTGTCTCATGAAGATGCTTGGGATTTAAACAATGGTATGGGATCTTGGTATGGAGGTTACGATGGAGCGCCCTATAATTCATGGCAGCGCGTGTATGAATATAGACCATGGGGTCGTAACTCAGCTTGGAATGTCGAGGGTGGTGAGGCCACTGTTTGGTCGTCTTCTCTTAGTGTTGGTGGATTGGATGCAAGAGTGTGGCCCCGAGCTGCAGCACTGGCCGAGCGGCTTTGGACAGATCGTGCCGAGGGCGCTACCAGACCTGTCCATGCTAGACTCGATGTGCATCGTACCCGATTAGTAGATCGAGGGATTCAAGCCGCACCTTTATGGTCCTTGTGGTGTACACACAATCCATACACATGTGGTTAATAAACTAGGTATTTTTCTATATATTATAGTTTGCAGTTTTCTTTTTATCTCAAATTAGTATTAATACCTTAATTACTGCATAGTTACTGGTACTAATCTATTTATAATACGTATATATTATGAATATTAGCGTTTCTCATATTACTCCTACAGTAGAATTAAGAATGCGTATGCTAGGGTAAAAAAATATAGTACATATCATAAACAGTATCTAATACTGATATCTTTATTTTTTTACTAGAAATGCATAAAATAATAAGTTGATCATAAGTATTATGATCAGCTTATTTTAGTAGGTACGGATAATGATGTCCCTAAAGGTAATCAAATCGACGCCAACAATAAAATATTTTTTAAAATGTATAATTAGATTGAATTGGATTGCCAAATAAGCCGACGACTCACCTGATGGTAAGTGAGAAGTGTTGTCATGAATAGCACATTCCGCTATCATGTGACACTTATGCGTTGACATTCTAGAGGACTAAGATGTCATGCCCCTGTATCCTGTAAATTCACTGCCTTATTCACTGCCTTCAACCAAAATGTTTCTTCAAAGCTGATTGGCGACTATACCTAATAGATAAGACAATCGTATTCAATGCAGACGACTTTGTATAGTCTACCTCGGTAAAACTATTAATATCTAGCGTCTAACTATAGATATATATCAAGTTTAGTTTTAACAATAATAACCCTGGACAATTTACACAACGCCATCTAGTTCTAAGCAGAACATGTGTTACGCGTACTAAACAAACTGATAGAAATACTTAAACTTTATTTAAATACATATATAATATCCATAGACAACATTCAGACCAACACAAACAATGATATTAATGAATGATGACTTCGTGTGAGGAATCGACTCCGCAACCATCGAGTAAAGTGATGTGCTAAACCTCTAGACCACCGTGGCCTCTCATCGTGACCGTGACCACTCGACCTCTATACTATCGTCAGTGATTTTAATAAAAGTTATAAGTATTTTTATTCGATACAATTAAGTTATTTTGTAAAACAAGACTGTAGCCGTGGGGGGAAGAAGTCTGATATTTTTGTAATGGGGACTAGGAACCGCAAATAGCAATGTACCCTGTCAGGTCGACCTCAACGCATTCCCCTCTGGGAATCATCGTGGATAATTCTGTATACCTCTTCTACTATTACAGTAGTAACCAATACAATTACAGTAGTGATTACTACTGTAATAGTAGGAGAGGTAAAGCTGCGCTAAAGGTATATACGAGGTATACCTTTAGCACAGGCAAGGATACTATTATTACCCATTAAAAAAAACACTTTAATTACTTTATTGGTTTAGCATTTATTGCCTTACGTTTGCGGTTTTGATTGCGGTTCGATTCTCACACGTATGTTGTATTTATACAAAACACGTATTTAAGTGTTTCTATCTGTCGCTTAATATCCTAGTAGTATAACTGCAAGCTCTGCTAAGTAGACTAAGACTGGATAGCATTGTGTAAATTGAATGGGGAAAAAATTAAGAAAGAATAAAAATAACATTAAGATTAAGATGTAGAAGTCACTAAAAGTATCTCCTCCGATCGATACCCAGTACCATTCAAACGGGGCTCGAAATTGAAAGTTATAAAGAATAAATTAACTCTAATAACCACCGATATTTAAAATGACAGTCAAATTCAAAAAGTATGTACTTACATGTACCTACTTTTTCATTACTTAAAATGTTAAATTAATATTTGATATCGATATGGTAATATCGATATCGAATATTAATTCGGAAGTAGCACATCCAACAAAGTTAGGAAACACCATCGACAAACTAATAAAATTAATTTCCGTTTCCGAGAAGCTAGATGCGTTCGGAATCATCAATAAATTTTTTTATTTTTTTAATTAGAATCCTGTTAAAGTGTATGTTAAATTTTGTAGTTAAATTAAATATTTAAGAATTATTTAAATATTTTAGAGTAAGACTGAATTTATAGAACTAATTGGTTATAGGTAGGTTAGTTTTTGTTTTATGGTACACAAACATACTGCTGTTTTACTACATGTTCAGAACGTAACACGTTCGGATATCAAACTCAAATCGTCATATTGTCAATATTTCCATATGCTTATTTAATATGCACATCGTGTATAACTGAAAAGTTATTTAATTCCAGGGAAATTTTTTTAGTAGTAGAGTTCCATAGGTAACTCTGAGGCTAGTAATAACTTAATTTCTGTGAATTGAATGCTTTGTTTTATGGTTTTCTAAAACTAGTAAGTTTGTTGAATTTGGTAGCTATTATACACATAGGCAATTAGTAAAATGCGATCCAACGATCCTAATAAAATTGTATATGAAAAGAGATATATATTATATACCTACAGTACATACCGTATGTGATATCATTAAAACCTTTACAGTGTAAAAGCAATTAAAATATTAATATAAATTACAATATTAAAAAAACTACTGACACCAACCAAATATACACCAACACATTAATTTGTATCCAAACATTTTTATACAAATAATCACTAATTTAATATAATAATTAATAGAATTAATTAATATATCCGAACCAATAATATCCGAACGAAATCAGGCACAGCATGGATAATTAGGAAACGGATACAGTAACAGTAAATGTTGTCTAATATTGTCTATGATTAACTCATGTACGGTTGCTTTACTAGGTATTTCAAAAGGCTTTAAAATAACTTTATTGTATGTTGATTGTACTTTTCAAACTATTAACACTATAATTCATTTATTAATATTATTTTATTATGTTCATAAATAAGTAATATATTTTGACCTTCACGTTAAACCATTTCCAATAAGTTTTTGATTTTTCTAAAGTCAAAGTACATGTTCATAAAAGTTTAAATTTTGTCTATAGTCAATGTGGCGCTGAAAGAAATGAATGAGCGTCAAGCAACTAAGTTATGGCGTTTTGTGAGAGACTTTCTTGAATAGTTTTTGTTATTAAAATTAAATGACAGTGTAATTTTTATATTTTCTATTAATATGAGTAGATACTACGATTACGGTAACGCGATATCATGGTGAGTTAAATGTAATTCTCCATACTGACATCCATATTGTCTTTATTTTGTATACGTTTTTCATGAATTTATTATTATAATTATAATACTAACACTATTTTATGTTTGGTTTAAAAAAATCATATATAATTATTTCTTAATATCCAAACTATTTAATTGTTTTGAATCTGTTCAATTTGCCGGGTTTGCACTATACATTGTTTTACAACTGTAGACACTTGAACGTGGTTTTCAAAATGCATCCACCCATGGAACTTTCTTGTACTTTACGATGTAAACAATTATTTTTATTAAATTAGTTTGCAAATTGCAACTTTATTATTACAATTATGAAATTAAAAACTATTATTGATTTTTTGTTATGGAAACCATTGGGCCAATGAAAGTATTTTTTACCTTCATAGATAATAGATCAGTTTGTTAAAATAATATTTCATGTTAAATAATTTCAACATTCTGTACCCAATTTTTACGAATCAATTAATCCACAGGTAGGTAAACAACATACATCTATATCTATAGTACATTTATTTTGACACAGTTACTAATTGAGCCCTTTGCATGCCACGATCCATGTAGAAATTACAATAAAATAAAACCTGCCTATACTCGAACATAATGCAGTTTACTATTTTTTTTTATGTTTGTATATGTCGAAAATACCCCTTATATATCAATAGTATGTTTGGTTTGATATACTAGTTGTTACTATAGACTTCGCGTTACTCTCTTTACCTCAATTATTACCTATATTGTTAAATTTCATGATGATTGGTTAACCCACTAAACCACCAAGAGGTAAACAATAAACAAACACTTTCATGTTTATAATACTAAATATTGTTGTGACTTCATCAGCCATTTTTGCTATATAAATTATCTATTTGAACCATATATTGGTAGCAGGGATTATATGTAATGAAATTTTACAGGAAGATTTATGTAAAATTTCATTAGAACCAGTGTATGCTTAGTATGAATTTATAATATACAGACTAACAGTTTCACAGTTCTAACATTAAGTATTAATTACTAAGCATAATAGATTTCTTGTAATAAATAATAAAAATAATCTGCACCAGTATAAGTTAAAAAGTAAAAGGTATGAAATGTCAAAATTAGTAATAGTACCCATAGAATTAAAGAAATTTGTCTAAGCAAATTACTGATAGTCATTGTTGTACATGATAACACGGAATGATTGAAATTTAAAAAAGTGTACCTTAGGAAAAGTTAATAGAAGTACCTACATAGGTCACTAGTACTAACATGTTTGAAAACAAAGTTATGAACTTCTCATTATACACTTCACACTTAATGAAAGAATGAAATGAAATAAAATTTGTATTGGTGTTCGACAATGAAAAATAAATTTTATATTAAAACGCAGAATCGAACTTTAGTCTCTAGTGTATATTCACATGAAAGCAATTTCAATTATTTTTGTAAGGGAACATATCATAGAAGAATAAAACATGTTCCAATACAATACTATATAAGTGTCTTAAAACAAATGTCAACTATAAAAAAGTGTAGATATAACATACTCCTTAGGATCAAACCCTATGATTACTATCCCAAGTTAGCAATATTATGGTAAATACATTCACCACAAAAATTAAATTATATTTGCAACTGGCATTACAATTTAGTTAACACTTCATTGGATTTTTGTGGTGGTCCTAACATCTTGAATATTTTGCTGTAAAAACAAGTTTCTCTGAACAAGTTCTGTTAGAGCAACTTGTTAATTAATTGTCAGTTTTCTGGAAAATTTCTATGACAGGACATCTTATTTCTCTTACACTTATCAATAGCTCCTGTCTCCCAAACTGATTAATACAGTTGTTGAAGGCTGTTAATGTACTTTCTCTCCATAGATAAGCACCTTCACAGCTGCAGTGGAATAATTTGTTACCTTAAGCAAAGGGACCACCAACATTGTTCTAAAAACATTCATCGGTTAAGGTTATTTGTGGTTTGTTTAGAATTCAAGTAATATGGCTGTAAGACATGTTTTAACCATTGATGACTAAAATGGGTAATTATTCACTTGCAGATGTTTTCAAATAAAGCCCCTTTCACTTCCACCTTTCCAAGTATGTGCTGTAAGAGAAATAAGGAGAGCCGCTATTCAACATAGAAGAAATTTTCCAGAAAACCCTCACATTTTACGTTTGGTGTCTTATGATAGCTTCTGTCCGTTTTCGGACGCGTGAATTTCAGTTGACATGAGACGGTCGCCCGTCAACAATGGTTAAAACACGATCTTCAGCGAGGGTAGGAACCGGATCCCAAAGCGTGCCCGCCGAAAATGGGACCTCCTCTGAACTTAGATCCCGGCTCAAAACGTCTGAGAACGGACACCGTTCTCAAAAGAGCAGCAATTCTAGGCAAGTGTCTGTAAATCTCGTTCGCGTTTGCCTCGTTCCTAGCTGCTAGCATGATCTCTGTCAACCAAGTGTTAATGTCAGCTGCATTATGTTGGTGCAATTGTGGAAGAAAGTCAGGATGAAGTTGATGCATGAGCCTTTGGTTTTCTGGTGGAGGATCTTAGCTTGTAAGATAAACATAAAAGGAAATGGTCTTTAAATATATCGCCATGGAGTTCAGAACCACATTACTTCAATTGAACGTCTGATTGTTCAATGTAATTAGTGACCAGTTGGTAAGATTCTATGTTGCATGATTATGTTTACTAGAACAATTATTTGATTCATATAGTAATGTGTAAGGGTTGTCTTGACAGGAACAGTCAGGCGCTGTCGTCGAGCGGCGGTGCGCACGGCACCGGCTCGCAAGGCAAAGATCCGCTGGCGCCCGCACTCCCCAGTTCCCGTACTATGTATCAGCACCCTGCTGTCACTGGATACAATCCACAGGACTCCCGCGCCCAGGCCATGCCTGTTAGTAAGCTTTTGAACTATAGAAAGGCATGCATATCCAACAGGCCGTTTGATGGAAAATGATTGACCGTCGCTACGCCCGTGATAATAATGCCTTGTCATTTTTGAGGACTAAGGTGTCATGCTGCCATATCCTGTAATTTCACTGCTATTTCTCACTGTTCGAACCGTAACGCAGCTTTACTAGCAAATTTATTGATAGTACAATATATATGATACAGAAGTACCCACACTGATGACTTCAAAATCTACTACGGCATAGTTTTTGGGTAATCAGTGGCCTCCTCATACAATATTTTGTGCTTAGTTTTTCAATAAATCAGCTCGCAAGTTAAGTTTAAAAGCCATGTCAGTTTAAAGTGAATAAGATTACCAAAAAAAAATAGCTGGTGTATTTTTTAATATATGGTAATGCATATACCCCGCCAACATATACCGTTAGCGCGGGAGGGTGCACCCGCGCTAACGGTATATGCTGGCGGGGCACCAGTGGAGGATGATAAGATGAGTATGAGATCAGGACAGTTAGCCCATCCTGACAAATTACATGGAACTTATTACGATGGTTTCCAGGATGACCATTGTGGAGGTCAACATGACCTGGTACATTGCTGGCAATGCGTTCAGGTTTATACAGGCGGGTGCAACATTGCATTATCATCCATAAAAAAAAAGGAACTGGTCTCTGATAAAATATGTTAGGTCAAATGAAATAGAAGTACTATTACAGGCGCGACAGAACCCACTGTACGCTGGGAGCATGTACCACGGGTATGGGCACGGCGCGAGCGGCGCCACGCTGGCCCCGATGCCTTCACCTTCACCTACCGCGCCATTAACACCTTACCCTGTACATCCAGATGTGAAATTTAAAAAGTAAGTATAATAATAACATGTCTTCACAACTTAACTCCGATGGGATAGTTTGAAGTAATGTGTATGTCGGCAGCGCACTTGTGACACCCCTAGTGTTTCAAACGTCCAGAGGGTATGGTAATCATTTACCATCAGATGGTTGATACTAGCTGACACGCGCAACTTTGGCTGCATCACATTTCCTTCATTTTAACAACATTTTACATTCCAGCTAGGTTCCTTTTGGGCTGTAGCGTCATTCTTATAATTATCATAGCTTTGAACATTCCTGGATAAATGGCCTATGTAACACTAAATTGATTAGTATGCGATGCGACCCGCGACCTTCCATACTATTAGAATATTATAAAGTTAATGAACTCTATAATATTGAAATAGTATAGAAGATTTGTATATACAAAAAATATTAAGTACTTATTTATCAATCAAATCAATAGATTTTGCTAGGGATAAATGTCTGTGAATACTGACACACACTACATCTGTGAGTAGGTCTCAAGGGATATTTTACAATTCATTTTAATACAACCATCAGGCTTCCATTCTACGATGTGTTGGCGGAGCTGATGAAGCCCTCCACCATGATGCCCATGCAAGCGGGCCGCATGCAGGAGGGCACATACATATTCCATTTAACGCCTCAACAAGCCACAGAGATCGCATCGGGAAAAGATATAGTCGGAACCAGTAATAAATTAGATTATGTTATACAGGTAAGTTCCACAATTACTTCATCATTATTATGTTTAGTAAAAAAGAACATACAAAGGCTTTAATAATTATTTAATATAATATCAATATTAATTACTAATTACAGAAGATATGTAAAGTTAAGAATATGAATAATGATAATAATGACCTTAGTGGTGTAGCGGTGTATCACACCGCCTTCAGGTGGTCGCGGGTTCAATTCCCCGTATGGTACAAACATTTGTATTCATTAGTATCATTGTTTGTGTCTGTCTGGGTGTTTTGTATGAATATTATGTATGTATTTAAAAAAAATAGATATCTACCCAGAACGCAATCTATACTTAAATAATACAATAGCAACCCTGTAGGAAAGATAGTCTTATTACTAGATTTATTTTACATGCAACAATATTAATTTTAGGAGTCTGGCTTAGTATGTTCTATTTATCTGCTTAACAATAATATATATGTTTTTTGTATTCACACCAACAGTCTTCTTTAAGAATAAATATTTATTTGCAGGCACAACTGCGATTTTGTCTTCTAGAATCATCATGTGAACAAGAAGACCACTTCCCACCTAGTGTTAATGTTAAAGTAAATAACAAAATGTGTCCACTACCAGTGAGTATTATTAAAAAAATTATAATAATTTAAGTCTATTATATTATATGAATAACAACTATGATATCATTACCACTTTCTGTTGATTTCTTTAAAAGGTAGGCCAGTTCATGTAATTCAACAAGCTGTGAGCCCACATGGTGGAAAGTAAACCAACCATGACGTTAACATTAGCACTATGAGCATGCTTGCAAATGAACTGTGAAGTATGAAATTAATTAGACAGTATGGAAACATTACATTGTTTTGTGATGTTATAAATTAGCTAGTGCAGTTAGTAAAAGAGTTTTTTAGATTTAATGTGAAATTAACAATACTCGAAATAAAACTGTCTAGCTACTATATTGATTGTGACATGGCATCGTTCATTCCGTGGTGTCTGTAAGTTCTGCTCTTCAGCAGGTTTGATTAGGGCAGTGCAGTGCACTGCATGTCTGATGTCTCGGTATCAATGTGTACATACTCAGTGTCAATGTGTCGAGCGCAGTGATGGCTGGCTCATCCGTCATACTCGTGATCAAGTGCTGTTTGTAGGAATTGGTCTGCTTTAATCTGACTGATTTAATCTTAATGTGTATTTAATATTTTAACCTTATTAAAATTATTGCTGGTTGGTAGTTTAAAGTTACAACTATTATTTAAAAGAGCAACACTAAACTTTCTTGTGTTCTTTTTCTGATGAGAGTAGCTTTACTAATGAGCGGTGGATTAAATAATAGTCCAGTCAAAATTGACATTTATGTTAGCCAAAATTCGCATAGAGCTGAAAATTGGTATAGACGTTAAATAAACCATTACAAATGAAATGTCAGAAGTCCCCTTCGATCCTACTTCTGCAAAAAATTTTATCCTAGGTCAAAAGTCAAAAATTCAGGTTTCCATTTATCTCTGAAACTGAAAATATTAATTTGTAATGATTTATTTAACGTCTATACAAATTTTCAGCTCTATGCGAATTTTGGCTAACTTATAATTTTTTTGGTCTATTTTGACTAGATTATAAACTATATATATTATGACTATTCAAAAGTACTAATTTAAGCACTTCTGAATAGTCATAGTTATTATGATATATTATTTGAATAAATAATTTATTATTCTGTCTATACAGAATCCTATCCCAACAAACAAACCGACGCCCGAGCCGAAGCGCCCTCCGCGGCCTGTCAACATATCGTCCCTGGTGAAGCTGTCCCCGACGGTGGCGAACACGATCCACGTGACGTGGGCGGCTGACTTCACGCGCGCTTACGTTGTCAGCGTGTTCATGGTGCGGAAACTGACGTCTGCCGAATTACTGATAAGGCTGAAGAATAAGGGCACCAAAAATCCGGATTACACGAGATCGCTCAGTGAGTACTTGTGGTGTTAGCTTATAAAGGAAAATGGTTGATTAGTAGTATTTACCTGTGGGGAGATTTGTCGTTGTGTGGATTTTCCATTTACCACATTCAATCAATGCAATGTTCACCAATGTAGGCTTTAATTCTTTGTACAAATTTATCTGCTTGGTTAACTCTATCATTTTCAATATACAAATATTGTCCTTATTTTTGGACCGTGATGTTGCCAAAAAAAAAACGAACATAAATAAGTAAATAAAAAGTTATTTATAAATTTATTACATTGTTACTTTATTTCATCACATTAAGATTGTCTTTGTTTGTAAATATTAACTTGAAATAATTTAATTAAATTCTATCATTTCTATTGTATATCCCACCTACTAAAATATAAATTAAAATTGGCAACACTTAGCTAACTTATGACATGACAGTATGTAACCATTTTCTTTTGGTCTCAATTACTATTTAGAATGAGAAAATAATAAGGTGATCTCATAGCTATCATTTGGTGAAGTTGTAAAGGCCAGCCGTAGCAAACAGTATTAGAATAGTTTGTTTAACAGAAAAAAAGTGGACTCAACGCTCATGATTGGTTGACAGTCAAAGAGAAGCTATCAGAGGACTACGACAGTGAGATCGCGACGACTTCGTTGCGGGTGTCGCTGATGTGTCCACTGGGTAAGATGCGCATGTCGTGTCCATGCCGGCCGGCCAACTGCCCGCACCTGCAGTGCTTCGACGCATCGCTCTTCCTGCAGATGAACGAGCGGAAACCTACGTGGCTGTGTCCCGTCTGCGACCGCCCGGCGCCTTATGACTCCCTAGTTGTTGATGGGTAAATTATACCATATAATATTTATGATCAGTATTTTTATACTAAGCTGTTGTATTTCTGTAACAGAGTACCAGATGTCAAATGGTGCTTATTATTATTAATAATATTAGCTATGTACTGCCTTGTTGCCCTCAAAAACCTGTGTTGGATATATATATATGTATCTGTGTACCAAATTTCATTTAAATCCATCGCGAAAAATCTATATTTATTTGTCAGAATCATAAACTATTACTGTCGCAATGTTTATAGAATTTTAATATATGATTTTAGGATTTTAATATATAATTTTAATGGACTAGTTTTGTACGATATTGCTTGTCTCACCTACATATTTCAGCCGTCGAACAGCTTCCTTTAAGGTGTTTTTCGGTGGAAGGGAATTATTTTAGGCAGAGAAATTATAGGGTATGGAAGCACAACACCGTAGTCCTCTGGAACTAACCCATGGTACTACGGATATCAAGTTGAATGATTGACAGAAGGTATCAGCTTATTTGGTATTCTGATTATTTTTGTTAAAAACACTGAGACATTAATGTCTCTTGTGTCTTATTGTGACTACAGCCTACAGTATACATAATTTTTGTTTCTGTCTATTTAGTAACTATTACACTATTATTTAACACTATTTATTTATTGTTTGGCAGGTACTTCCAAGAGGTGTTGACATCGCCGCGGCTTGCGAGTGACTGCAACGAAGTGCAGTTGCACGCGGACGGTAATTGGTCTGCTCACGCGCCGCCAGCACGCGCGCCACAACAGCAGGTGCCAGCAGCGGAGCCCGTTACTCTCATCCCCGATGACCTGGGTATGATGATTTTTTATATTCTCTTCACTCATAGACAAATTCTTTATTCACAATTACAGATACATAACATGCATGAGATACAGAAAAACGCGAATTAATAAAAGAAATGTAGGTGGCTTTATGTGCCGCAAAAGTGAAAAGGTAGCCAACTTTGCATAACGCTACAGTTAACTCTGCAGCGCTGATATTCTGTTGGCTCCTTTCTTATACTATACTTATTACTAAAAAAAAATTGCATAATAATAGATGTGGTGTTGTTTCCAAATGACACTTCGTTTATCTTTCCATTCAATTAAAAAAAAACTGGTAAACATAACTAATTTACAGCTTGTTCCTTGTCAGTTCGTCTCAATCTATTCTACAGACAAACTTAGCCAATAGAGGATAAATGACTTGCAGAAGTGACTGATTAAGTAGGTTGCAACTAGATTGTCATATACTCCCAGTCAGTTATCGAGGGTTATTTATTTATGTTAGTATATATTCATTGACATTATATATAAAAAATCGATAAAATAACGATCGATTGTGCCATATTCCATTATTTTTTCAGACACAAATAAAATTGAGAGGTTGTAAATGTAAAATTATCAAATTGTCATTAAGTAATGTCAAATTTGTCTTTAAAATAATGAAACTGATCATCACCAATAATGATAGCTGGTTTATAGCTGACAGCCTCGGTGGTCTAGTGGTTTAGCAAACCGCTTTATTATCCGATGGTCGTGGGTTCGATTCCTCGTAGGGCACAAAGATTTATATTCATGACTATGATTGTTTGTATCAGTCTGGGTGTTTTCTATGTATAATATGTATTTATTTACAAAAAAATGTATCCATTTATTTATATCAATTGTCTAGTACCCATAACACGAGCTCTGTTTAGCTTGAGACTAGATGGCGCAGTGTGAATTGTCCTGAGATATTATTATTATATTATTATTATTATATTTCTATATTAATTTTATGTATTTTGTCCTAATAGTAAAATTTTATTGGAACAAAATGTACATTGTTTATTATATTTTTTTTTTATTTGCAGAAGTGATACCAATAGATGGTAACAGTGGAGGTGGTGGCAAGCGAGCTGCCGTAGGCGAAACTCGTGTACCCAAGCCAGCGGAGGCTGTGGTGGACCTCACCTCCGACTCTGAAGACGAGTTGCCCTTAAAAAGGAAAGTCCCACAGCCTAAAGTGACTCCACCTATCTCGGAGGCCAATATCAAGTCTGATGATTACTCCAGTGGTTAGTATTTACCTCTGTTCATAATTTACGATGAAAATAGTATGATCGTCTAGCGCGTTGGTTATCACCTCCCTACTGTAGCGTTATATTAGATGAGATGAGGTGTAGCTACATAAATTATTTTTTTATTATAGTATGTAGATAGTGAGTAATACAGGTGTAATAATTGTAAGTCTTGTTGTATATTAGTTAGTTTATTTGGTAGTGTGCTACATAGCTTTTTAGTAACGCGCAGATTTGACGCAGAGTTGGGATGTAGACTGACATTACGTTGAACTGTTATTTGGAGAGGTTCTGATGAAAAAGTCTCGAGTGTTGACAGAAATATTCATATAAGTGTAGTATTCGTAAAACGCACAATCGTTTTACGAATATTATTTTTAAAAAACCACATAGGCACTAAATATTCATTACATTTAATAATAAATTTTCTGGTTAGTGTCATAGATCTTTTTTTTTTTCAATAGTGATTTGTGATGCAGTGGAGGCAGTGTCGTCGAGCGGCTACCGATCTCCGGGCAGTGCGAGCGGCGCGGGCGGCGGCGCGGGCGCGGGCGCGGGCGGCGTCATCTCCCTGGACAGCCCCTCGCCGCCCGCCGCCGCCTCGCCGCCGCCCGCCGCCGCGCACCACGACCGCGCGCGCTCCCCCTCGCCGCCCACCTCTGCGGACCACGATCGCTGTGAGTTTTTGAACTGAAACCTCTATATATACAGGTGTTTTAGGAATTTTAGGTCACGAAAAAACGTTGCCGCTCCGTGTAGGGCTGGTGACGGCGGAGAGAGAGAATCGGAGTGCGGGGTATCCGCTAATGCGTTGTGAGAGAAAGTGATTTGTCCCGTGTAAGTTTTTGAAGTAAAATTTGTATATAACTTATAACCCTGTATTATAAGTTATAAAAAGAAGTGTTACTCTTGCATGGAGGGTTGATGGTGGCGGTGAGAGGACATCGGAGAGCGGGGAATCCGCTATCGCGTTGTGAGAGGAAGACTTGACTGTATTTCTTCTATGTGTTCCAGTACACATTACTTTTTTAATTTATGTAACTAGAATGGCAAACAAGCTGATGGTGTACCTCACGGTGGACAACAGTTACTTAAATACTACCCTCCGATCGATCCTCCGTCCAATTCAAACGTCAATCGAAATTACAACGGCCCGAGCCAAGTTTCAAACCCCTTAGCGGTGCCCTCAGACTAAAGTTGTATTCGTCAGGCAGGAGTCGGCATTCAGACACTCCAATGGTCCTTCCGGCGGTTTGGAATAGCCTTCGGAGTCGATGCCGGGGCAAAGGATTTGCCCCAAGGCACTAACCTTCATCCCCCCTAGGGAGGTACTGGGATGACCCATGTCAGTCACCTAAGTTATACCAAACTGAGTTAACTAAAAAATTGTGAAGTTTTGATTTGTCTAAGTTTATATGGGTGATACAGATGTGATAACTCAGATGACATGTACAAAGTCTCGCTAAAATTATTTCTAGAATTATCTTTTTTAATATATCACTTATTCTAGGTACGAGTAATAACAGTGACCGAGATGAAAACGACACAGCACCTGCACACTGGGCGCCATACGCAGAGTCCGATAGGGAAAATCTCGATCCATTCAGAAGGTAAAACATATAATTCGAAATATTTATTTTAGAAAGTACACACTATCTTGAGGAGATAAATATCATGGCTCCTACGAACATCCTACAATTCTTGTCCTTAACGGGCAGGCAGCGAACTCTAAAAAAGCCAGCACGATAGATCTCTACAGTGCACCGAGATAAAGCCCACACCCCTCATTAAAAAAAACATGAATATTTTCTGTAAATTTTACCCTCAAAGTTAAAAAAAGACGTTTTCATTCAGTTATAGGTATTGTTTGTATATCGGTTTTGTTTGTTGCCTCAGAAATTCAATATTTATAAAATTGCTTTAAAATTTGATTTTGTATATTGTATACCTGAAGTTGAAGTTAATTGGAGTAATTCTTTAAGTAGAAAATAAAAAATATATAGTTCAATTTGCTTTGACTGTTTTTCGTACATACTGATGTCATTTTATATTTATATAAAAAAAACAAGTGTGATACATATTGTGAATATTGCTTACAAATTGTGAAGAAAATTAATTATTCTGTCCAGGTACTGACTGAGGGAGAAGAGTGGCCGCCCGTCGTACGCCAGCGGCCATTCTTCTGAAGAAGAGCAGGAAACTTCGTATCCAGAAGTACCCCTGTTACCGCCGTAAGCGTACGAACCAGTTGTCGTTATATTGAAGTGTTTTGCGAGTGTTAGTCGAATAATCGACATGACTCTATGTATAATAATGAACTCAAAATGAAATCGAAAGTGTATGTTGGTGACATCAACAGCGGTGTTTAGAATAAGCGTCAACAATTCTATTTTCCGTACCTACATTAACATTTTCAGCGACTGAGGTTAATATTTAGAAATGTGTAATGTATTTTTTATGAATTGTCCGTATCATAGTGTAAAATTTAAAATAATTGGAACATGATTGAAAATAGACGAAAGAAATTAGAAATACAAATGTTTTTTTCTGTAATGTTTAATAGTGTTGAATTATATTACAATATGTTAAATTCCAATTAATGTTACCGATGTACGAGTAAATAATAAGGTTTAAAATAGTAAAAGTTAGATACTGACGTGCGTGTAGCAGCTATCAACATTTATACCGTTTAAAACCCCATCTTGACATATGTACGGAACTAGCAAACCGTCACGGCTTCGCACGGGTCCAATGTTTGTTTAATTTGGAAACTTCGGCACAGTTTACGCAGCACGTAGCGGAAACATTCAAAATTAATATTTTTTTTACTACAATTTTCATCGCTGCTACGCTCCTATTGGTCGTATCGTGATGTTGTATAGCCTATAGCACTCGGGGTTTATATACATTTCTAACAACAAATTTTTTTTTTATTTGATCTGCAGAACCGGAGACTACCCCGAACAAACAAATATACAAACTTTACCTCTTTATATTAGTATAGATATTTGAGGTGATATTCGTGTTAGGTGTTTTCTCGTGGCTATCAAACGTTTTCCAGTGGTAGAGCGAAAGTGTACATAGAAAAAGACTAAGAAGTGGATAGTCAAATTTGTCTGTTCGTAAAAATGGGTTACACCTACATTCAGTCGACCCCTGACCAGGATAGCAGAAAATTCTATGATACTGATATCAAGAAATGTTTATAACTATACTAATTAGAAATCTGTCAAGACGATATCACTAAAGCCAGTTTGAAGGGTTAAACTGGCTTTAGTGTAACATTACAATAAGGTGGTGTTTTCTTTTCTCTTACTCTACAGGATTATATTTCACAGCTTTGGAAGAGAAAAGACTGGGATCCTCTGATGTGATGTTTGAATCTGATATATATAAGATAGAAGTTTATGCGTTAAAACTTGTTCGTTATAAAAAAACAAATTTTTCACAGTGTATTTCAAACCTGTACATTTTCTGTAAGCACTCCCCTGAAACCTTGAAAAATCTACTTTGTTGTCTCAAAATTCCGTGGGAATTTCACAAAACTATTCCTAAATGTCTTCTTCATAAACCGTAATTAAATTATTCAATCGAATTGACGTCATTACTTCCGTTTAATGTTTTACTTGAAGAATATTTCATTGAGCTTTGATCTGAACCACGTTTAATTTTTGTTTGTCACAATTTGGTCTGTATGATAATTTACATGCTCGTAATAATAATTATGCACTTTATGCAACGTTTGGTGGATTGAAAAATGCTGTGGAGGTACTTATTTCTGCAGTTTGTAAAATAATGCGCAAAATAATAAATACTTTTTATTATATTGCGCTTCTAAAACTGAAAAAGAGCTTAAATGTTTGTATTGGTATTGTAAAATATTGGTCAAATTGCTTTCAGACATATCGGTATACAATTGTGAATTATGATAAAAAATAGTTTTATTTAAAGAGCTAATTTGATTTAATGACAGAGACTAACAATAATTTACCTAAATGGCAGCATCATAAACATAGCTTCCAAATATAAGTACACACCTGACATATAAAATACATACAATTGTTTGACTTATTTTTTTTGTAGTTTCTAAATAAAGTACCTCATAAATGTACACATACTTCCAAATTCCAAGTATGTTTAGTTTGTTATGTTAATTTATACAGATAAATATAGGAAACAACAAAGAAACTTTACCTTATAATCTTAATAGTTATTTTCTCGCAGGAATCTAATTTATTTATATTTAAGGTGTAGCATAATTCGTGTAATTGTATTATATTGAAGTGGGATGGTCGCTTACATCGAGACTATGATACTACCACCAAATGTATGTTGAAGCCTTAGCACGTATACTACGTCTATGGTTGAAGTTAAGACTATGTAGAATAAAATAACAATAAAATGTAAATATGCTCCTTAATTGTTTTTCTTATCTCTATAATTTATTATTTATAGCCTGTATTATTTCTGATTTATGAGCTTGTTGTAAAGTTTTATTAAAATCAATTTAGTAGTATTTGCGTAAACAGTAAGAAACAATCCATCCACACTCACAAACTTCGACATTATAGTATTAGTAAGATTCCGGTTCGATGCATTATAATTTGGTCTCTCCATTCTAGATGCAGTAAACTAATAACTGACTGGGAAACGAGGATATTGTTTTTCGTACGACACATTCGTACGAAAAACAATATCTTTTGTTTAACACGTTACATTGGCAGTAACATTTTTATATGCAAAATTTACTTACACATGTTTCATTATTCTGGCCAAATTGTTTCTCTCATTTTGTGTAAGTTAAAGTGGCGTCACGCGTTTGTCACGTCTATATTCGATTGATATCCAACTAAATATTCGAGTAGGTGACCTAATGGTATTATTTCATAGCGGTCACTATATAGATGGTATGCTACTACGGCACCAATACCGGATAAGAATTATTATCAAAATTGAACCAATTTTTCGATGATTATTTTTACAATCTCCTATAGATTGTAAAAAGAATCATAGAAAACTTATACTTACTTAATAGCGAATATAAGTTCTCCTTTTTTAAGTAGCAACATTTCTCAAAATTCTTTGAATATTCTTATTATACGAATATTGGTACACCAACCCTAAAAATTCTACACCGCAAACATTACATTACAGACTTGTAGGTACTTGATATGTAATAAAATTACAAATAGGTCTGAAAAATATTTTCTGCAAGTAGATAGTTAGCAAACTAATGATAAGTGTACAAACATAAAGAAGTCGTTATAAGTATACACTAGCTTTAAAGTGAGGCGGAGAGCTTGCATTGGAGCGTGGAACGGTCGCTCCGCCGCTGTTAGCAAAACGGCAACGACCTCCTCGACTCAACGCTTAATTGTCGAATAATTATTTTAATGAATGAGCGACCGTGCCGATGATGCCGTCACAAACGCTACATTATCTATTCATTGCGTGGATCAATTCAAGATAGCAGTGGTCGGTAGCGTGGCGATTGTACCCTGTCCGTATGTACCTACTATAGGATAGGAGCCCTCACATTTTTATAGCTCCCGCCTCGTAAAGCCTCTTTTGTCTCTATCGGGCGTCCATAGACGTGGTATCTCTATCGCATTCTCTCTTGCGGCTCGCCGGCCGGGGGACACGTAGCGTTCCTTGCGAGTTCCGCGCTCGTCCGCTGCCGACCCGAATCGGCGCTGACGTGACGTGCGTTATGTTGTTACGCTCGTGTTTCTGCTGTGAAATCACTATTGTTATTTGTTTATAATCAGCAACAAATAACTTGGAATGAATTGCAACGTCTGACGGATTAATTACTCACAGCGGAGTGTACTGTACGTGTTTGTGTGAGTTCACAAGTGGATAATGAAGTAAAACGGGTCGGCCGTGTTTATGTGCTGAATGGTGATTAAAAGTAATTTGCTTTTACGGTGTTGAGGGCCGGCTTGTGCGTATCGATCGCATATCGAAAGACAAAGCATTGGATTGTTGTGGTGGTACAGAGGAGCCGGTGTAACGAGAGGTAAGTACATAGCATACATGGCTTGTATTAGTGGCGCGGCGTAGCAATGGCCGGAGTAGCGAGCAAACATCCCAATTCCCAATTCAAGCACTCAAAATGTGTGCGGTTCTAGTCTAGGATACATATGACTGTACAGGGGCAAGCCAGGTCAGGTAATAATAATTAATACACGGGTTAATACAATCAGGTATGTATTTAAGGTTTATAAGTAGATTAGATTAAAGATTTTTTAAAGATTCCACAATATAGTTCTAACTAATTTTGTAGCGTTTACATGAACAATGTCATGTTTGTATTAGTATTTAGTTACACCGCACAATAATTGTAAAGCCCTCTTTAGACGGTCAAACGGCAGTTATTTGCGATCATGCTTGACAAGCATACTTATTTTAAGGATGCAACTGTCAAGTTTTTTATTGGATGATTATTATTGTAAACGCAATTATATACCTATAATGTTATTTTATACAATAATTGTACTGATGTCATTGTAAAGTTATGTAATACAATGATGTCAAATTCTGAGACTTCTTGGATTCATTGTCAATTGATGTAACACCAGGGTTATAATTGCATACAGGATTTCTATTCCCTAATTTCCCACCATTCCTAATTATGGCCTCTATTAGCTCGATTACTATTAATTTTACATGTTTCAGCACATTAATATTACTAAAGACTAATTATATTCCGCGGCGCTGACCGCATTAATTCTCGTAAAACGTATCCTATATATTATAGACCTATCTGTGTCCAAACACGAATATATCTAGTAGTTTTTAAAAACATATAGTTGTTTATTACTCAATATGTGTGATATATAAACAACACACCCAACCATCCAACCTCACAATCTTTCGCATTATTAACATTAAGGATAATTATTGAGAGATCCATGCATTTATAGCCCGATATAGCAAACATGATATGTGAAAGTATTTACGGCATGTTTCTCTCCCGTATATACTTATTAGGAGTTACATAATAAGCCCGACTATAAAAACGGCAATAATCGTACGCCGTTTATGTTCCTAGGCTCGTAATAACTCGTTGAATGAGTTATCATTCATATTTCATTAATGACTGACATTTCTATATACAGCATAATCGCGTGCTATTTCATACGTTTTCTTGTCGTACAAAATGTCAAAGAGATTGTAGATAATTGTGTAGACTTGCAAGACTGCCTCCCTTTGCGTGTTTGACCGATTGTATAACGGACTGTGGAATTAGATATGATATCCAGGGCCACCATCCGTCGAGACCATATGCTGCCCGATGCCGTTTTATCTAAAGTAATATTAATAATAAATAAGTTATAGCCTGTAATATATAAATTAAATAAATCATACGACTATATTTAAAAATTGTTACCTGTAGAAAACTAAACTATCACTTTTTTTGGTATTGGCATTATCTGAGAGTATCTTGGTCGGTATTTTTTTTTTAATTGAGCATCTATATCATGAAAATAAATGCACCCATGCAAACTCTAGAATTGTTTAAAAAATTGTGTTTACAAGCATCGAGTCGTGTAGGTACAGTTTATTCAATAGCAATCTTCTGGGATTCGTTACGCGGAGAGATCGGATATCGGCGAGCCGTCTGTCCGCTCGGGTCTCTACGTGAGGCGAACATCGGCTAATGGCTTCACATTCTGAGTGAGTAATGCCCTTCCCTAATGGGATAATGGCACGCCACGCCGGCGCTGCCCGCCGGACTACCTCGGAATATTTATAAAGCGGTCGAATCGCGCCGTGTCAACAAGCGGCGGGCATCGCGATCGCTCCACTGTTTGCCTTCCCATTTAGTAAGCGGCAAGGGAACCGATAAATCGACCCTCAGGAGCCGACAATCTAATAGGTTCCGTAATGAAAATATTACATCACAAGTCAATACTACTGTTTTTTAACCGAATAATAATGAAATTCCTGTGTATTTCAAATAATACAAATCAGTACTCCTTAATATAAGTTAATTTTAACAGTATTACCTTGGTATAAAAAGTCGTAAGTCGTTGGCACCTCTTTTTCACCGATTCCAACCAACCAAAAGATGTTTTGTAAACTTTCGGTTGAAGGAGATATGGCAGTAAAATTACAAGATACGCATACGAAAGCGCAAGAGAGGAAGTGAGAATTACATAACTACTTGTTGTCCATGGTGCTGATTGTGTATATAGACGACAGTTGCCATTTACCATGAGGTGGCGTCATCATGTGCTTCAACATGTCCTTCTTTGCCATCCAGTTACAAAAAAAAAAACATACCTATGCATCTACTTCAGCACAGACATACCAAGTCAGTCAGTTTATTTCAGGCTATACTTTTGCCTGTAATAAAAACTAGTTATATTCTATGTTATTCTAATTCTGTAAAAAACCATTCTTGAAATCTATTAACATAATTAATATAGGTAAACGTACTTAAAGCCGAAGATAGATATTTAAATAAATTACGCATATCCGTTGGGTATATTAATAAAAAACACAGGTTATAAATCTTGTATAATTTTGTGCTGGAATGTGTTTAAAGATAAACGCATGCCAACGACTTAATATTGGAAACCACAGACACACATAACATTTGACCTTAGTGCAATAGGTAGGTATGCATCGCTTTTTGTTCACTTTTTTATTTGTTGCTTGCAAAATCAGAAATATGCTTGTGTTATGAGCTCATAGTATTTTCATAAATCGTAAAAACAATACGCAATAAAGTGTATACGTAAACATAGGATGTTTCTGTTGCATCACCTTGTATTAAAAAAAATAACAATTGAGTGAAATGGACGATTCAAAAAAGGAACATTAAAGTGCTTCGAGTGCTCTGTGGTGTCGAGCTCAATGGCTCTCGACTAGACACTGACAAGTAAACATCCAAAGACACCTATCTGCTTACTAAGGACTCGTACTTGTCGCATTTAACTTACCATGCAAAACCACAAATAAAGACAATGCGCCGCAGCTATTTGTTACTGTTAATCAAACGGGTGGAAGACAACACAAATAGATAATGTTTTAGATTTACAGATAGGACACTTTTTATCCGAATTGGTACGTGTGAGCAGTAAGTACTATTACTACTAAATATTTAAACTACTCTAACATCAGCAGATTTAATGTATCTAATTCATATGGCCTCATAATTTGTTTGTATAATAATAATAATAATTTTATTTTTCGTCCAATATTTACATTTTTAAACTAAGATTATATTTTAGGTTTTTAATGCAAAAATTTCCTTTGTGTAGGAAAGCTATATCATCAATACAGCTGGTCTATATTTTTTAAATGAAACGAGAAAAAATCCATAACATATTATATGATTCGCTCGGAAACGGAGCGGACTTGTTGAAACCACGTGTAAATTGTAAAGTTTTTTTTTTTTTGAGAACAGCGCTGCAGCTCTCCGCGGGGGCTCGTTCCCTTTGTGCACGGATGAAGCAATGCTATTCCGCTTCATAGAACTGTTTATTGTACCTCGCAAGCACAACGAGCTGTGGTCATTACAGTCTTGTTATTACACAGTTGGCAGTGTACAGCTATCGCTTTACAGTTCCAACTATGGCAAAGTGGTTGTCACTCTGTTGCCTCCCGATGGTTGTAAAATACTGTTCCTCTTGAATTCGTCTGCTTTTCTTAGTTAAAATAGCCATTCTTGTGCTATCTTAATAACAAATTTCAATAAGATCGTTTAGCTGTTTAATCCTGAAACTAGACTTTCACTTTCATAATAATATATGTTGCTGACGTACTAGTTATATTTTGGATTTTTATTGTTAAGAATTGTATAGTATTTTTATATGACAGAACATTAGTCTAATAAGGATTTTAACAGACAATAACGCAGTGTTATCAGAAAGCATGATTAAATATAATAAAACGAATCGGAACAAAACAGAAATTACATGTAAACCATGTCTCTCACAACGTCAAGAAACACTAAGAATTTCAATCAATGTAGGTGTAGAAGTGTAGAGTCAATAACAGCCGGAAAGAGATCACAAATATGGAAGGTCATAAAAGCTTCTAGTAATGGCGGTCCGGCCTTAGCATTGAATACTTGTGGTCACACAAATTAATGGCAGCGGTATGAAACAAAATAATTCCCACTCATTAACTAAGTATCATCAGAATATGGTTAGAGGTGAATCATGAATCATTTAAAATAATTATTTATTTACTTTGCACCATAAGTCAATTATATAGAACATAAATAGAAGTAATAAGGTATAAAAGACGGTCTTATTGCATAAACAATATTGTCCTTATTAATATACGACTAAATGGCTGAACGGATCTTCATGTAGTATAATGTGAAGATAGATTGTATATATAATATATATACAAATATATAAGTAACAGCAATGAAAATTTAATATAATGTATTCTACGTGCTATTTGAATAAATAACATACTCTTCCATATATTCCAATATAATTATAATTCAAACCACACGCTACACACTAATATAAACATCTGCTACAACTATTTACATGATGATTAAATTAATATATAATAAATTACATTTAAGTATTATATATTAATGTATTGTATATTAACGTGTTCGTGTGTTGTTTTACTAAGAAAATATATCATGAACAGTGGGACATTAATCTGGTGAATGATAAAAATCTGGTTTTATAATCAGCATATATTAAAAGCACACTTGATTAAATTCTGTTTGATTTAATTGAAAACCGCAATCACTAAAGCGCGCCTGAGCTACGTACTCACTCTGAGCACTCTACCTACTCGGCCAACGTTCCATAAACATTTTCTTTTTACATTTTATCTTTCATTCTCTCCTGTTTGAATTTTTCTTTGTCCCTTTGTTAGACTTTTCATATCCTTCTGTTTTCCGCATGGATTAATTTTAATTTCGATTCCAAGATTTTCATTGTCAATATCTCTTTATAGACTTGCCAGTGAGGTTGATCATTCATTTTCACTGGTCGGAGGTAGGTATAATATAGATGGAATATTTATAGGAGGGGT